CCGTATGGGGCGGTGCGGCTAAATCTAAATTTATTGAAGTTGAACGAGGACAGAGGAGTCTAATAAAAATTATGTATTTTAAAAAGATCACACATCCTACTGATAGTCTTTATAGAATTAGTGACCTTCTTTCTGTAAGAAAATTATATATAGCTAGTGTAGTTGTAAAAAAATACAAAACAATTCCCTATGATAAAGGCTTATTATCAAAAAGACTAAAAAATAAAATTGCACCAATTCCTCAAACCAAAACCGTATTCGCTTCTCGTCAATACTCTAAGCGCTCTGCTCAACTTTATAATCGGGTAAATAAGGAGATATACATACATTCCAAACCACTTCACGAATGTAGAAGAATACTAGTAAGTTGGTTAAAATCACTTACTTATGAAGAAACTGAAGCATATTTACAATCCAAATAAACACACACACACACACACACACATGCACACACACACACACACACACACACACATATATATATATCAACTACCCATCTAACATGTACTGGTCCCTTCATAACATTATTTAAGCTGGAATATTTTGTATTATTTTTTGTATTTTTGTTTTTCTGTATTGTTTAAGTAACTTTGTAAGAATCACCTGAACACAATCGTATACCAATCCTGTAACAAGCATGATATGGAAGAGCGGAGTTTCCTAATACAGGCGTTATTTGCTTAAAGGGAAGCTCCAATCACGAATATTGTTTTACAAATTTTTGGTAATGAAATAAAACATTTGTATTTGTATTTGTATTGTATTGTATTTAATCTGCTACACGGATGACACCTTACTCACGGCCCGGGGGGCTAACTTCCAGGAGGCGGCGCCCCTGCCGCCACGGGAGTTTCCCAGGTGGTCGGGCGCATTGAGGCGTTGGGATTACGGGTGGCCCTGGATAAGACGGAGGCCCTATTATTTCATGGGCCCCGTCGTGGTCCACCCGCCGGCGCCTCAATCGAGGTCGGCTCGGTCCTCGTACCGGTCCGGGCCCAGATGAGGTACCTGGGTCTGGTCCTAGACGGTAGGTGGCTCTTCGACGAGCACTTCCGACAGCTTGGTCTGAAGCTGGTGGACACTGCCTCCGCCCTAGGGCGACTTTTGCCCAATTTGGGCGGGGCCAGTGTTCCCACGAGGCGGCTGTACGCGGGGGTTGTCCGGTCCATGGCGCTTTATGGTGCACCGGTGTGGGTGGCGGCTCTGACCGCCCCGAATAGGGCGCGCCTCTGGCGCCCCCAGAGGATATTGGCGGTCAGAGCCATACGCGGATACCGCACGGTGTCCACCGAGGCGGCTTGCGCCTTGGCCGGAACACCCCCGTGGGATTTGGAGGCGGAAGTGCTCGCCGAAGTTTATCGGCGAGTGGCTGACTTCCGGGCGGAGAGCGGCTTTCGCCCTCCGCCCGAGGACGTGCGCGAGTGGCGCGAAGCCGCTCGCCACCATGGTCAGATGGTCGTTCCGGCTGGAGACTCCACGCGCTGGCTTCGCCGCCGTGGAAGCTCTCCAGCCGGTCATCGCCGAATGGGCAGGGCGGCAGCACGGGACCCTTTCCTTCCGGCTGACGCAGGTGCTTTCCGGGCACGGTTGCTTCGGAAAGTACCTGCACTCGGTCGCTAGGAGGGAACTGAGTCCCGCCTGCCACCACTGCGACTGCAGTGAGGACTCGGCCCGCACACGCTGGCGGTCTGCCCCGCATGGACGACGCAGCGCCGGGCCCTCACTGCAGTCATCGGAGCAGATCTCTCGCTACCGGCCGTAATTCGCTCCATGGCCGGTAGCGACAGTTGTTTTACCGCGGTCGCAACCTTCTGCGAGGAGGTAATCTCGCAGAAGGAGGCGGCGGAGAAGGCCCGGGAGGATGACCTCCACTCGGACCCGATCCGCCGGAGGCGCCCGGCGCCCGGCGGCGGAGGCGCGCTTACCTGCGCCTCATGCCGCCCTGAGTGTGGCCGCGGGTGGACGGGGTGGGTTTCCCCTCCACCCGCATTAGTTTGGCCAGCCGCGAGGGGGCGGCGTCCGCGTGTGCCGGACGTCACCTACAGAGAGGAAAATTTTGAGACGGGGCCCGCAATAGGAGCGGGCCGGCGCTAGGAGGGGTCCAGAAGGCGATAACTACCTGGACCCCTCCTAAACTGGAAGCGCAAAGAGGGCACACCGTGTGGTTTTAGTCGGTTCGAGTCCGACACACCACCCCGCCGCAAACCCCGGTGGGGTGACGGTCCGAGGGGATTTCAACACGTTAAAAAAAAAAAAAAAAAAAATCAAGTTTTCCTTTTCTTTGCAGTGTTGTTGCTCTGCGTAGTTTACTCCCTTAGTCGGCTCTTACGACACCCTCCGGATGAATAGGGGCGGTGACACACTGTATTCTTAATCCATATCCACACGGATAGTGAAGGTCAATTAAATATAGTTTAAATTTTTTAAATATTTTTATCAAATAATGACTGAATAGCTGCACCGAATGGAATAATGGCTTCGAATGGGAACACCGTGGTTCCCACACACGAGGGGGTCACCTAGTAGCCGTAGATGGCCCGTTGTACCAGGGATTTCTTACCTAGGCTACATTTGGTACACCGGTAGTGGTATTATCTGAGGGGATTTCCGCACAGAAAAAAAGGGGCATCGCAGTAGAATGTGTGTTGAGGGGTCGAAGTGGAATAGTGAGTATTGAACAATCCCCTAAGGGATTGAGTGAGGGGATTCAAGTGGAAAGAGCCGCCAAAACCTTTTCTACCTTTCTGAGGAGAGGCCTATGTCCAGCAGTGGACTATTAAAGGCAGTTATGATGAGATAATTAGTAACTGGTCAAAATCAAAGCTGATTTGAAAGAAGGCTTTTAATCATTTACTTACAGCAAAACTAAAACCTTTTATACGATATTAAGGAGAGTTTATTATAGACCACGATTCTCGGGATCGGCCAAGTACGCATCAAATTCTATTTATATTATTACATATTCGATTTTCATTATGTTTATAATATCTTTCAATCTATTGTTATTGCTATAATCACAGCGTGGTCACAGCGCTTGTCCTAGCGGAGGACAGCGAAGTTATTGATTCTCGTCTTTGACACTTTGTATTTGGATATTGTTAATATTATTGCTTCTTTAACATTCAAAATACTTCGATCGCTGTATTCTTATTAAATAAGTACATATTTGGTGCTTATAAATAATATGTTGCCTATGTGGATATTATAATAACTACTTAAAGCCCAGCCACAACTTTGAGATACATCAAAATTTTACTTTCTGCTGGCAATTGTTTTTTCAGTTTGGGATTTATGCGTCGTTTGCCACCTGGTGCCTAAGTCGCCGGTTCATTAGCTTTACCATAGGTCGCGGCGATGCCTAGTAAATATCTTAGTATATGTTAATGAGAGAATATTTTCAATTCAATACATTAAAATAACATTCGGCTCTCTGCTAAGATATCCTAAAGAATATAATTTTGTTACTAGTTGAAGCGGTAAAGTAGAAAGTCCCTTACCATAAAAACATTGGTTTTATCATATTGCACTAAATATCTAAGTATGGGGTATAAGGTCCGATATTATTGAACGATATTACATGAATGAACAGTAACAATTGCCTCGCTCATAATTTAGGCTATAATGTTATATATTTTATCAAAATATTGTAAACTTTCGATATAGTAGTGCAACCAATTCTTGGTCCCAGTTTAAGTTGTGTATTTTACAATTCGAAAGTGTACGGCGACTAATACCGGTTAGAGTAAAGGTGCATGGCCGCAGTAGTCAATCGGCATGATCTTTTTCTTAAACACAAACAATAAGTACACTGAATACACGCGGAAATGATATACTCGTACTTACTGCACTAGATATTTATTTCGAAAAATCTCGTTTAAAGAAATATGTCGTGACACGTGAGAGCATCAGTTGGCTACATCTGTATACTGTTATAAAGTTAAATTATTAAAACTGAAAACCGTATTTAAAAACTTTCCTAGTGAAAACGGTCTAAAATACTTTAGTCATGGCACTAAACCCTTTTTTATCACTATAGTATCACCATCGTATTGTATCATTTAATCAACAGACAATGATCTGCTGTCAATAACGATAGCCAGTATGTGCCATTGTGTAGTAAAATGGCACGAAATACTGAATACGGAAGAAGAAAACATATTATGCTGACCTTGAACAATTTATTGAAATGATTGGTTAACTTTTTTATTATGATATATATATTATGGAGACTCGTGTCTGCTGAATGCTTTTATATATAGATATAGGTATATATATTTTTCAATTCGCGATGTTTATAATCTATTTTATTGGTAAGTGGCTTGTTTGTTATGCCTTGTCTGTGTTAATAAGTGTTTTCATTACAAACATTATAATAATTGATTTGTGTACAAAACACTACGAATAGTTATTTATTAAATTAAAATATTTTGTTAGGGTCTCTCAAGATTTAGAAAACTAGACTTATCAGTAAATGTATAATTGTAATCTAGTAACTTTGATACTTTAATTATTATTATTATTATTCCACTGAAGCTGAACTGTTTGCATTCTCGTAAGCGAAGCATGTACTAAAACTTTTGGTCTTACTTTTCATTGTGTGCCTACTTTACTTCTATGTAAAAAAATATTGTCCAAGTATAAACAAAGTATTGGAAGACATTTGTTTTGAATCGACAACTGAATTTCATTTGATTGATCTTTATAAATTGTGACGGTTTCTGCATAAACCGCACTTATTTTGTAAACACTCCACAATATTGCATTGCATGCACACAGTCATTATCTTTTTAATGGGTGAAAACTGAGCTCATATAAGTAATTTGCCATAATATACGAATACTATATATATACACCTGCTAAACCTACAAACAAATTGACAAACACTTATTCAAGAATTTGCAACGTCCAGTGTCAATGCTAACTTGCTAGGGCTGTAAATATCGGGGTCAACACACGAGCACGTGAGTACACTCACTTTCACTTTAAATAAATTATCTTACCGTTTTGTTCTTGCATTTCCATAATGCCTTTGTACTTTATTCACTTAGTTTTTATATTTATTGTCGTTCACTAGATGTTTAGCAAAAAATAGGGTAAACTGTGCCTATGCAGCGCTCCGGACGAGTTGCGGTTGCAAACTGACTTGATTGTTGTTGTCACTCGATGCTGCGCCCGCGACTCTGCGCGTAACCACGTCTCTTGACGTTATCAGTGTTAACTATTTTTCTATTGGAATTTAGTTAATTTAAATGAATGTTATCTCTCATTAAACACGAGTCGGTTCATTGCATTGCCCCTTGCTTCGTCGTTCACAACTTTCATTTATCTGTATTGTTTTGGTAGGTATATCTATTTATTCAGGAAATATACACACTGATACACTCGTGCGTAATATTTAATTAATTTCCGGGCCAAGCACATTTTTCCAGTGTAGTTATTTAAAAAAAACATTGTTTCTGGAAATAATAGGTCGCATAGACATTTTGATTTGAGCTATTTTGTGCATTAGTTTCTTTTATTCTGAATATTATTTCTTTTAAATTATGCCGTTGTTTTAGTAGTTGCAACTTAACCACCGAAAGTAAACCAATACCGCTTTTGTTATTACTTTTATTACGAAAGTGGATTTCAAGAGAGTTTCTACTGTGGCACTGCCACAGTAACTCTCTAGGTACAGTAACTGCCACTGTGGCAGTTACTGTACCTAGAGAGTTTCTACCTATGAATAGTAAACGCAAGCAGATAATTAATCAATCAATACGCATTTTATCCTGAACATTTTAGATGGATTTCTGAAGTACTGTTATGTATTATATGTAATACATAACAGTATAGTAACAACATAACAGTAACAATGTATATGACTTTAGTGTGTATTAAAAAAAATCTGACGATTTGAGCGTGACGTAAGGCAGTGGGAGGGTCATAAAGTGGCAAAAAAAAACTCATGACCTTAATTTTTTTTTTTTATTGGAGGTAAACAATGCAAGAAATCTTCTTTAAATGTCTACATAATTTTTCGTGCCTTTATTTGTCACATTTTATTTTTTTTTATTTTATTTTATCTTCCATTGCGTTCTATCCCTAGTAACTCTCCTTCAGTTGGGACCGGCTGTTAATTTTATGTCGTCCCCCGAGCTCTTCACCTGCCTTCCTCTGTTCCTTTTATTATCTCTAGGCTAACATTCGGTAAGTACCTTGCTCCACTTTTCTTGGGTACTTCGCAGTAGATGGCCAGTCCATCTCCACTCCAGTGCCCAGGTACACACTAGTTGGTCTATTCTCTCTAGCACATCTGTTACTCTAGTTTTGGATCTAACGAAGGTGTTTCTGTTTCTGTCCTGTTTTTTAACGCCAATCATGATCCTCTCCAGGGCTCTTTGGCAGTGTACTAGACTGTCCCTGTAGAGTTTAGTGAGTGACCAGGTTTCACAGCCATAGATAAGGCAAGGTGAAATGCATATGTCAAACACTTTACGTTTAATTTCTGTGCTTATTTCGGTGGATTTCATTTCCTCCTTTAGAGACAAGTATTTTTCCAGCTGTTGGCTATTTCTCTGTTAATTTCATTAGTAGATTGGTCTTTGTGTGATTGTTTCTTCCACATATTCGAGAGGATGGTTATCGATTTTGATCTCTAGGTTTTCGCAGTAAGTTAGCAGTTTGGTCTTACTTATGTTCATGTAGAGTCCGACTTTCTCACTTTATTGTCTTAGGCCTTCAATGATTTTCCCAAGATTATGTGGGCCTTCTTCAAATAAGACAAAATCGTCAGAAAACCTTCTTAAGGTTTCTTCCATCTATGCGTAAGCCGTATTGGCACGGTACAATTATAATACAGTACTGTAACTCGGCCGCATGATAGAAATAAATGCCTACAGCCGCGCGGTACGTAAACATGCGTTAGGGCTGCCCGTCTCCAGCATTTTAATTATATTTGCCTACTTTCTGTTTCTATTTAGATTTGTGATTGTAAATATCCTTTTTATATAAATAAATGAAATACTTTGTATATTGAATAGGAAGTGTTCAATAAAAATGCGTGTTGTTTTTTGATTCACTCCCTATAGATTTTGATACACTACCTATTTCACTCGTCTCAATAATTTTCCGTTACTCTATTCGCTTTATTTATTAATCCAAACACCTTTTTTTTCGTGAGATAAAAGGAAATACTTATCCATTAAAAAGACACACATTATGTACCTACCTACTAGTAAGTAAAATTATTTTATAGTCTTACCTTTCAGAGGTTCCAGGTAATTTAAAAAAACTTATGTCTGGATGCGTTATTGACGAATTCATACAACCAAAAACAGCACAATATTTCCTACTCGTCATATTAACTGATTTTCAGAGAAAAAATCGCGCGGTTATTGTTAAAAAAACAACACACCGTCCATTCGACACTGCGGCACAGCCGTGACTGTCTGCGCCCCGAGCGCACCCCGAGATCGAGGCGCGTAGGTATAGCTCGCGTTTCGTCCGTTTGTATGAAGTTGGAGTACTGTATTATAATAGTACCGTGGTATTGGTCCTAATACAACTTTCGGAATACACCTTATAGACACACATACAATATATAACGAGTGTCCTAAAGTAATCATAAAAAATGAAATACAAATAACACGGTTCAATATACGTTGGTTAAAAAATCATTTTTTTTTAATAATTAATTCCTATCGATATGAAATGTATGCCAAAAGATGATTCGCACTATAAACTTTTGAGATAAGATTGTTCTACCTTTTAGCGATATGAAATTTATGCTCAAAGACGATTCTGACTATGAACTATGACGACCGGATGGCGTTGTGGTTTGTGTAACAGACTGATATTCCAAAGGTCACGGGTTCGATTCCCACTCAAGTCAAACATTTGTGTACATAAACATTTAATGTTTGATTTGGTCTGTTTGATTTGGTCTGGGTGTTTCTATGTATAATGTGTATGTATTTATAAAAATAAAGTATATATATGTATTTATATCAGTTGTCTAGTATCCATAATACAAGCTCTGCTTAGTTTGGGACTAGATGGCGTTGTGTGAATGTGGTAGAATATTAAATTAAAACAAAAAAAACTTTCGGCAATATGATGGGTCTACTTTTTAATTATTATGGACATGAAGTTTATGCCTAAAGATGATTAAGACTTACAAAATTATGAGTTTTGTATGTCTGCCAATCGATTTTCTGCGAAATGAAGATTATGCTATCGCATCGTTATTGCCGTGTATTATGACGAACGCAATAAGACTAAACAATTATTGACACAACAAAACTTTTCTAAACAAATATCTCACGAATAACAACAATATTATTATTACGATAATTTGTTGTAAGTGCATCTACATCATTGAGTTAAAACAACACAAGTATTACATCAAGTATTATATCAATGATCTACATGGACACAGAACAACATAACACTCAGCGATTCGCGGTGGCAAAGGGTCGATTGACTCTACTTACTGGATAAACTAATTAAAAAGCGTGTCCTTCATCCTGATGACGCAATAATCAACATACAGTAGTAAAAGCGGCAACGTGTGATATAATGCGTATACAGCTGATCGCCGCCTGAGGTTTGTGTATTATGACTGCATTTACACCTTTTTTTTTTCGTGCGGAAATCTCCTCGGATACCACCTATCGGTGGCATGTCGGACTCGAACCGACTAAAACCGCACGCCGTCTCGGGTACTAATAGCCGGGGAACCAGGTATACCCTAGAAAGGAAGTCCCTGGTGCCCCGACATACCTCGGGTCATCTACAGACGAGTAGACGACCCCCCCCCGTGTCGGAACCAGATGTTCCCTGTGCTCCCTGGAATCTGCATTTACACCTGATGTTGCAAATTACGAAAACAAAAAAATTGTCCTGTTTCTAAGCCACTAAATATTTCTTGTTCATATTTTGCAAATCGTCTAGAAATAAATGACAGAACATGTGGTTTAAAGATTCGTCAAAAGAATAAAAACACGTTGTATATTGAATCATTTCGGTTTTTATTATACATGCAATCCACGTTAGGTACTCGTACATGAAATTTAAATTAATTGTCAATGAAAACAATTCATTACACTCTGGGATTTTATTGCTGTATTACTAATAACTTTTAATAAATCTAATACCAGGTATTTAAACGAGGAAAATATTGCAGGTTCGGTGATCTCATGGCACCCACATGAGCAACTTATTTGTATTTTAGAGGAGGAAAAATCCTGAAGGATAACGAAGCCATATTCTTTCCTATCTTCCTTCTTTCTACAGTTCTAGGTGACAACTTTCTCCTCTTTATATAAAGTACATCTATATGTATGTAAATGTTAAGTTGGTTTGTTTACGCTTCAAACTCAAAAAGTTCTGCACCGATTGAGCTCAAATTTGGTCATGATATAGGTCACGTTTCAAAAATGGCATTTATTTATTACTTTTATTTATGTTTTGTGTGCCACAACCAGAGTGTGCCACAACGAAGCGTGGCAGGGTACAGCTAGTTACTTATAGCAGGGAAGCCCTAGAAAAGATTTCAGGATTGTCAGGATTTACTCGAGCGTGACAGATTACCATAAGGAGGAATACCTTACACCCAATTGAGTACCTCCACCATACATGAGCCCTACATATAGAGGGCAGCGTCTAGGGCAGCCCAACAGATTAGTTAAAAAAAAATGATGACTAAAAATACTCCATCATGTAAAATGAAGGTAAGTTAAGTCAATTGTATGCAAATTAATGTGTATTTTAAAAAATCAGACGATTTGAGGGTGACATCAAGCAATGGGAGCTGTTAGGTATAGGCTGTTCAGTGACTCATAATTAGTATAAATACCAGGTTTCATTGTTATTAGACAATTAGTTTTTGAGTTATCGTCAACCAAGCAACATAATCGGGAGTGAAAAGTGAAACATGGAAAAAATCGAATATCGTGCCGTTATAAAGTTCCTTACCAAGCAAGGAAAATCAGTTGCGACCATAATTAATGAGATGTCATTGGTTTACGGCGACTCTTGTCCAGGAAAAATCATGGTGTACAAATGGCACAGTTTATTTAAACAAGGAAGGGAATCCCTTGAAGACAACCCGAGGGCGGGCAGTAGCTTCGAGGTGATCACGCCAGGACTTATCCAAAAAGTCGAAAAAATTGTACTCGACGATGCTCGACTAAAGAAGAAACAACTCGCAGAAATGGTTGGAGTATCTGATACAACCATTTTTAGAATTCTGCACGATCATTTTGGCATGACAAAGGTCAGTGCAAGATGGGTGCCGAGAATGCTCACGCCGACGCAGAAACAACAGCGCGTAGAGTGTTCACGTGCATTTTTAGACCTTTGTAATGAAGACAAGGATGCTGTATTGAGTACAATTGTTACTGGAGACGAAACTTGGGTTCATCATTATGAACCTGAGTCGAAACAAGACTCCATGCAGTGGCATAAAAAGGGCACAGCACCTCCCAAGAAGTTTAAGGTGTCACAGTCAGCTGGGAAACTCATGGCAACGGTCTTTTGGGATTCAGAAGTAATATTATTGATCGATTATAAAGATAAAGGTGTTTCTATAACCGGGGAATACTACGCTTCAATATTAGAGCGACTCAAAGAAGCCATTAAAGAGAAAAGACGGGGAAAATTGACAAAAGGTGTGTTGCTTTTGCACGACAACGCGCCCGTCCACAAGAGCCGCGTTGCGTTGGCTGCCCTGCATAAGGTGGGCTTCGATATTTTGAATCACCCACCCTACAGCCCAGATTGGCCCCCAGCGATTATAAACTGTTTCCAAAAATGAAAAAGAGCTGCGGGGTAAAAAAATTACCAACGATGATGAAGTCAAGGAGGCAGTTTCGGCGTATTTTAAACAAATTAATAGAAAGATCTGAAAAATGTATCCGTCTTGCAGGTGAATATTTTGTAAAGGAAAAATAATTTGGTTTTATTATTTCCACCCCTTATCCCCCATTCCGCGAACATAAAAACGCTCCCTCGTATATACCCTCGCAATTAATGCATTTTTGCATTTTCTGAAACTAATTACCAAAGCAGTTGGACCAGTCTTAAATTATTGTTGTAAAAGTTAAGTCATGCGGTATCCATCGAGTGCAAAGCTGCCGAACCTTCACATGCTCATGTAAAATGTGCAATATGTGTCCGTCGGTGTATATAGAATAATACCCTTCACACTACCGGTGGTGTCATTGGGTGGGATCACGGGTCCGTGACGGCTGCTTCTTACTGCGCTGAGTGTTGTGGGTTCGATCCCCATGTGAGACAACACTTTTTGTGTACATAAATTGTTGTTCTAAGTCTGGGTGTTCTTTGTGTCCGTGTCTTGTATGTTTGTCAAGTTCCCCGCTACACATGATATTTTCCTAGTACGGGAGTTGTCTTTTAGAAAAATCCTCATACCACTACTTGTGAAAAGCAGGGGCACCCTAGTACCAACTTCTCCCTTTCGACCGTATCGAACGAAGAGCGACACAAATCGTCGATAGTCAAAAGATCTCCGACCGGCTCGATCCCTTGGCGTTACGAAGAGATGTAGCTTCACACTGCACTCTCTATCGTATATATCTGAAAATATTGGGTAAAGATTTTAGTAAAATTGAATTCTTACAACCATGTGATTGCTTTAGCATTCGATTATGATTTTAATGTATTGTAATAATAATACTTAGGTAATTGTAAAAATAATGTTATTATAATTTTAATGTAGTTATATGTAATACAATAAATATTATTAATTAATGTATGTAATTAATATATGATTAACCCAATTATAGGCAATTAGATTTCTAGGTATGCGATCGTTTTCGGCCGATTGGCGTAAACTATTGTGCACAATATCTGAAGACATTACACTCAAAATTGCACATCCACTGTATGATAGGTATAAAATAAAAATAATTCCTCAAATTTATTTATGCGTTTGTATCATAATTATATTTAAAGGCAATTAGGACTCTGACATCCCGGCAATGACCTATTAGACTTCTAGGTATGTAATCGTTATCGGCCGATCGTGTTAAACTGTAATTGTGTATATATTAACTATACGAGTACTATGTCTTTGTAGTCAATGTTTGTAGGTACTTAGATTGTAATAAAAAACTAACACAAAGTATCATCACAAAAAAAACTTTGCAGTGAAAGTATCTATGTTCACAAGAAGAGTACCTACCTAAGGTACCGACTCTTCTTGTGAATAGGATTTCCATAACTTTCAATATATTTTAAATGCAATAATTATGGGTATTTTGTAAAAAACCTTAAAATATCCAACATGTTGAAGTAATTTGGAGTATGTAGGTAATACCTAGCCACTGTGAGTGATAGTGCGATTACCATGAAACACCATTTTAAATATTTGAATCACTATCAACTTTCTAATGTCATTCAAGAATTGGATTCGTGTAGCCGATTGTGCAGTATCATTTGTCAATAGGACAAAATCACAGTAAACTGTGAATGAACTGTGATTTATAATTCGATTTTTCGTACCTAGGTTAGCGTTGCTTGCTACTTACTCACGCGTTGTTGCCAATAAGTTGTTTTCAGACGATGCATAAAGACCCTATTTCGACTATTTAACAGAAAATCTAGCTGCCATTTCCTACATAATAATTTAAAAAATACAAGATTTACTGTTTAATAACGTCTGAAAACAGCTCATTGACAACAATGCGTGAGTAAGCAGCTACCTCAAGATTAGTAGGAAAAATTAGAATGATAAATCACAGTTTACTGTGTTTTTGTCCCATGTCTAGTTCGATAGGTACTCTTGCATAAAGCAGCCGATGTAAATACACAACTCGTAATTAAAACCAAAGATGGACATTACCCTCTTTCTTCACGTATTATACGGTTTATTCTCTGTTCTTTGAATAAGAAGTCACTCTTGCTTTTGTACACGAAACACAACATTGATTGCAAATTTATTAGAATTCGAAGTAAGAACCACATATTATAATAATGTGTACAGAGAAATGAATAGAATTAATGAAAACGACGAGAATGAAATGGAATAAATTATTCAAGGACCCAAGCGCGGATCCAGCTTTGGTGCCAGGGGGGGTCACATAGTCGTGGTCAAGTCACAAGAAGTTATAATTTAATTTTTATAATCATACATAAAAGTAAAAAGTAGGTATTTTATTAATGTATGTATAGTCTGGCAAAAACGGGTAGAAACGGCAACTAAAATTTCATTACTTTGGAAACCCTTTCTCTACTAATCTATGGTTACGAACGGGTTTCTTGTCTATGGTACAGGTACCGAAGACGTCAGTCAGAAGTAATAATTCCTTCTAAAAGAGAATTTATCTATTTCGCGTATTTAGCTTGTACAGTGGCGCCCCCGTTTTTTTCTATTATTTTTTGCCAGACTATAAGTACCTACTCACCTACTTACTGTACTTAAAAATACCTATATTTAAATCACAAAATCAAGTTTTCTTTTACGTCTTCTCCCGAAACGCGTTATCATTCATCTACTTCAATGGGTACGTTTTTATGGACGTGGAGAAGTGCCAGTCCGGTTAGACGTTCTTCAACCATTTAAGCTCTTAGCCACGATTTAATTCTTCGTAACGTAGCCAAAGATCTTTCATGAGTTCAACATATCTAAAAAATATTTACCCCTAAACATAAGTCAGTGTCACACGAAATGTACCTGTTAATATTAGTAGCCAAAATGTGGGTGTGTTAAGTGACTAAGAAAAGTGTAATACCGAATCCCACGTCCCCGTAATTTTACCAATACGAAACACTTAACAACGAATGCATGTAACCCTCAATAACTTAACGCCGTAGCCATGCTATCCCAAATGACTAACAAATATTTTTTTTTCTGTTTCTTGAATAAGAAGTGACGATTACGTTTTTACATGAAAGACAACGTGTGACATATTGATGGCAAAGGGTATGACAAGGTTAAGCATTAAGAATGTGCCCCCAGAGCCAAATGTAATGTATATCAAATTGTTATGTACGTTACTCATTTACATTACTATTTATGTAGTTTTTTACTGCCGATCTCTTACTGTCATTGCGTGACCTTGAAAAATGACCTTTTAACAGCAATTTTTTTACATTTTTAGTTCCCTAAAACTAATAGAGCTAGGAATGTGATTCCAAAGCCAAACTATAGACAATACATATATTGTTCTTAATTAGTTTGCTAATAATAAATATTTTTTAACAGTAATATTTTTTTCTTGCTTATAATTAGTAAGTTCTAATAGTGACCACTTTCAAAAAATTCAGAAAAATAGCACTTAATGTGTAGATTTTATTGTAATAAGTTTCATCGAAATCGGATACCTGCAACATCTTCAAAAAAAAAATTTTTTATTACTCTGGTAGTTAAAAAACCTTTAATTATAGGAATTTGACTCGAATACTCGTAGTAATACAACACAATCTCTTTTCTGTTTCTATCTTTATTTTATTTCAATCATCATCACTATCTGAATTAATAACAACAGATTTTTGGCAAAAATCTTAGTTAGAATCTCTGCTGGCTTAAATATACGAGAGAGATATCTAGCAAACGATAGATAATAAATTATGGACGCTATATGCGAACAACAACCCATCGTTCTATTCCCATTAGGAAAATAACATGAACAGCGCTTAATATCAGTATACGTTTTTTTCCATACGGAACATAATCAATGTAACAACGATACGTTTTACTATTTTTATGATGTGATTTTACTTAAATTTTAAGGATATTAGGTGAATCTTTTATATATTGTATTTGAGGACTTTCTTGATCTCTAGCCAACTCTACCAGATATGAAACCATCTGAGATTGTTGGTATGACCCTGTAAATAATATTTTTAATTCAGGTTCACCGAGTTTCGGGACATCCATCACTTCAGATGCCATTAAAGTTTTAAATGGATTTTTCTTCTATTCCAATTTTGAGTTTCAACTTCCACGCTTAGGGTGTTTAACGTATTCATTTTTGCATTCATATATTCAATGATTTCGTCAGCCAATCCATTATCCGATTCCAAACGCTTTCCAAATCGGTTGTGCAAAAAACCTACAATCCTACAGAGTGATTTTCCTTTGGCAGCATTTTATTATCCGTAGTATGGTGTAAAAGTTTATATTTTTGGCTGATTGTTCTGTGGACAGCTTCAGCGACCCATCTAAGTAAATGAGTAATGTACATGAGTAACGTACATAACAATAATTACTTATGATATTCATTACATTTGGCTCTGGGGGCACATTCTTAATGCCTTACCTGCTATACTCTTTAATATAATGCGAAGTAAAGACCACATTATTATAATAGTTTGTAGAGAGAAATCAATAGAATTTTTGAAAACAACGAATGAAATGGAATAAGTCATTCAAGGACCCCCGAATTCAGAATTATTAAGATGATTATAACGACTTGACTAAAGCTACGCTACAAGATTATTAAAAAGAATAAATGGATCATTATTTCTATTTTATTTCTATTCGTAAAAGGCACCCCACGTTTTATTACAACATTTTTTTTTTGTTTTGTTTCTTTTAATGTTAATTTATATGCTTTGGTAGTTCATTAACCCTTATCTTGTAATTTCTTCTCTTGCAAATTTTCAAGATATTTGAATGCCTTGAAAACATAAATTTTGTCACTTGTGTTTAAAGTATGTTTGAAAAAAAGCTGAAAGTAATCTTTTGCTGAAGCTGAAGCTGAAGTAACTTGTAATCTTTTCTCTTCTGTCTAGGACAATCCCGTTCGCTCGAAACCTGCGACTAAAGACAGCCAGCAGCCTCTTGTAACTCAACAAATGTTACAATCCACACGTGCTAAGTTGGGTCGTGCACGACCGGTAGCCTCATCAACACCTAAGCAACAACTCAGCGAACTAGAGAAGTAAGTGTATCACTTGTAGAGCTCTCGGTGCTATTTGTGCGTATTACTATTTTCACATCACTGCAGACACCACCACGTGAACAGTTTGCGCTACCCATTCCATTAAAGAAACATACGTCATTTCCTATTGATATTATACTTCTACAATTCACAGTTGCAGATAACAGGCGTTACTGTGGATAATTTTATTATCATCTTACATTGTGCTTTCAGATGTCTCTTACAAGAAACAACAGTAACATCTTTGTACAGGCGACGAGTAGCTCGTGGTACTTTCCGCAGTGCAGAGGAGCTGCGATCACGGCCATACCCTGCAGGGTTATGTTCCCGGTCTCCTATTTCTCCTAGATCACCTCGTGCCAGTTCTCTGCCCCGATCACAAGCTATGTCGCCCCTAAAATTTCCTAACGGAGCTATGCCAACTAATGATAATTTAGTGACTTAAAAACGACAAATATGGCCTAGAATTATTTAACATAGAATAGATATATGTAGATTATTAGGGTAAATACCACAAATGTGACGCGTACTTTAATAATAATTGAATAGGTACTCGTAAGTATTAATACCCAGATCGTAAGTACCTACACGCATGCAGTAGGTACTTTCCTAAAATAATAATGGTATTAGAGATGTGATGTATACAACTCATTCTACTTGAAAATATTGTACATGTATTGATGAACAATAAAGCGACATGTTTGTTACTGCTTTTAGGGTTTTTAGTCTTTGTTGTGTATACTTTTGAGTTTGTGGTTTAACCCCATAGGAATGGCAGGCGCATTCCGCATCGATTTAGACAAAAAAATAGATCTAATAATACTTAATATATAACATTCAACACATCTAAACATGTTTAATTGATTTCACATGTGGAGAACACTTTTTTCATTGATAGGTTTAGCTATAACTTTTATTTATAATCAAGAAGGCATTAGTTTTGATTAGTATTGATTTTTTATAAGATTTATAGGATCGTAATTTATTTAAAGAGAATAAAGGCCTAAATTTTGACACGTTTCTATAACAAGACACGAATATTTATTTATTATGTATGTACAAGATTGTATGAATCGTATTGATATTAAATGTACTATTGCGATAAATGTTTTGAATGTTTTTTTATACTCAATATCAAATCCGCATTTTTGCTAGATTATTTGTTCGAATAAGACAACAGTACAAGCAGGTCTATAAAACTGTAAAGTGGTTGAGATAGACTTCATTGAGAGTTGCTGTGCTAGGTATGTAAACTCAGTTTTACATAAGTATACAAAGATAGGGATCTATACACATAGATCCCTATCTTTGTATACTTATGTAAAACTGAGCTTACACATGTAAAACTGAGCTTACAGATAAATGTGGAACTGCAAAATATATCATGGCATTTACAGGGCAGACACAGACGTGCGGACAAACTTATTAACGTGAGCAAACTACCTATCTGTTTAAACTTACCAGACGGTAAAGTTATCTTTTATGGGGATTACAATAACCTCATTTTTACATAAATAATATCTAAAGAGACTTACTAGCGCACTCAACATAGCTTAAGTGTCAAAGCCTGACTTCAGAATAAAAGTTTCTTTTGACTGTGATAAAACGTTATTTGAACGCAGACAAGGTGAAGTATATTTCCATTTTTAATTCTAAAGTGTCCATTATTCAAATTGCGCTACGTTTAAGGGCCCACACAGAACGAATCAAGAATATTTTAGATTTTTAAGAATAATTTTCAAGAATATTTTAGGCACAATCCCAGAATAAGTAAGCCTCATTGGTTCACAAATAACACTTATAAGAATTTTCCCTCATTATTTTGATTGCCTGATGAGCCGCTTAATTCCAATTAGTTCTAGTCAAGATGCCTATCGCCTATCACACGCTATAGTACCTATACTTATCCATTAATATTAAAATTTTCATAGTCAACAAGGGCAACTCAAAAATAGACCATACCTAACAAAAGTATGTTATTTGTTAATTTCTGCAAAAAAAATTTAAAGTAAATTTCTTGGTAAAATGCTGTCTAATTCCTTTTTTTTTGTCAAAAATATAATAAAATGTAAATAATAATAAATTCAAACCAAATTCACTTGGAAACATACTGAAAGTATGGCCAGTACATACAAGCTTTTACTGGTACAGGCGCAGTATTTTCCGATTTCCATTTTCTGTTTTATTTTTACATTGAAAAAGCAACCTATTATTGCGGTGAGTTTGCTAAGGTTTGTGTTTAATTTTATTATTTAATCTTTTAAATCCAAATTCAATTAATTTAATGAAGTAAATTTATTGAATTAAAAAAATATTTATATTTAGATTCGGCATCATCTAAAATCAAAAGATATAGTTATGTACAGTTTCGTGGCATTTTATTAAATTAAATGATAAAGATGGGCAAGAACAGGGCTGCCAACTGTAGAACTTTTTTCACATACTATAAAGTCTCCTATTTTGGCTTGCAAACCTCGTACTCATCAAGCATTTTAAATGAAATAAAACCAAAATTAAATCATATTATATGGATGTAAGTTTAGCAGACATTTGAAAATTCAAAAAAGAACAGCAAATAAAATGTCGATCTTATTAAAAAACATAGATCATGACTATAAAAAAAAAAACAAAATGTGCATTTTTTTTATTAACGTGTTCTTAAAATTTTAACACACATCTGCGAAATTCACGCTCATCTCATTAAACTATTAATTAAGTGAGAATGTACGGTGATGGTGGTCGGTACATTAGACCGATACAATCCTCAAGAGATTTTAAATCATAAATTGTAGACAAAGTGTAAAAATCCATTGAAGCTATAAAATGTTGTCCACAATAAAATTTCTTCTATCAAAATCTCGTACATAACTGTACAAACCTTATCGTGTCCTCGTACTTCGTAAAGCAGACCAGACCACAAATGGCTCTACCCTTTATAGCAGAACTTTTATGTCATAATATTATTTGCATAACAACGGATGGCAACTTAACTTAAACTTAACATAACTTCATTTCACAGAAAATCGTTTGGCAGAGACTATTTATCATACATTCATTTGTAAGACACAATCATCTTTAGGCATAAACTTCATATCCATAATGATTTAAAAGTTGAACCATCATATCGCCCAAAGTTCATATTCAAAATCGTCATTGAGCATAAATTTCATATCGATAGTCATCAAAAGTCAAAACTATCATATCTCAGGCAGTTTACAGTAAGAATCATCTTTTGGTATACATATCATATCTATAATAATTGAAAGACTATCTATCCATCATTTTGTATTTCGTACCATAATATTAAAGCCATGCAGCATGCAGCATATCTGTCACGGCTCCGGCGCTGCGCAGCTCTGGCGGTAATTATGCGAAATAAAATTATGCCATCTTAAAAGCATGCCATTATAAATTCGGACAAATCAACATTCGGCCTAACAATAATTATAATAAATAATTTTTATGCCTTAGAAATATTCGTTTAAAGAAGATTCTGCCAAGTGTGTTATGCGAAGTAAATTTCTGAGCAACAAGATTCTGCCAGATAGAGGGAATCCAAAACAAATCTCTCATTTGTACTAGGAACCTCGTACGGTTGGCAACCCTAGCAAGTAATCAAACTACCAAAATTATAGAGAACCAGCCAGCCATAGAGTTGCCAGATTATAATCTTTCATGGTACCAAAATCCTACGTGGACACAATAATTGAATAAAACAACCAATATAAAGGAATTAAATTTTTTACTTCTTTTCCTTACTAAATTAAATATGGAATTATTATTTAAGAGAAACTTGACGAAAATGCATTACAAACTTGGTAAATTATACTGGTTAAGTCGACCTAGGTATTTAATGGGGTTGTAGTGGCCATTATTGCTGATAGATTACACTGAAATACCATATCTCAAACCTAACCATTTTCAAGATAAAGCATACAGGAACGGTTTATGCTCATTATTTTTTTCTCTTTCCGTTATTTGGGTTCTGGAAGTCTGATAGCAGTCGTTCCGCGTAAAAAATCTAAGTTCAGTCTTATCGTAGTAGACTTAAAGCCGACCCCCTACCTAATTTGGGAAAAAGGCTCAGAGGAAGACTTTCTGTGTTTTCTGTGTCAAGTTTAGTTTCTTCTCAATAGAGCCGTTACAAAAGTACACATAATAATGTGTACTTTTGTAACGGCTTTTATCTTCCGTTTTGTTCCAAGATACAGTTTTTATCACTATCATATCTGTAAAATGAAGTCTATGCTGTCTCGTAACTTTCTAGATTTATTTCCATTATTGATTCCATCTCTGAAAGACGCAAAAAATACCAAGAGTTCTCCACAATGTTGTGATCAACCCTTGGTCTTTCTTTATATATTTGTTTACTATTCGTCATTTCATCTCTGTGATCACTTGATCCATCCTCCTTTTGATCCCATGATGATGCGGTACGCTTCTTTATATTAATACTGTTTTCATCTTTATTTGAGTCATATCTATAGTCGAAAACCGATAATGTAAAATAAATTTGTTTTTGGTATCCTCGAGGCAATAATTAAGAAAACCCGTTTTTTAAAATTAAAATATCTATTGAAATATCTAATATCTATAATTTAATATCTAATTATCTATCTATTATAGAGATCACAAATTACAATCAGCAGTACAAAAAATATAGCCAAGTAGTAACATTAGGAACTACTCAGTATTATCATTGACATCATCATTATCTTCTTGTTCTTTATCGCGATCATCACTATCTTCTACAGGAATTAACGACTCATAAAATGAGTGGTAATAGATTAGAATGCTGGTTATCTTTTTTTTAAATGGTAAAAAAAAACGCGGTATTTTGCAACTGGCAAAAAAAACTATTCAACCATTCGGGACTCTACAAGTCTCTTTTTATTGCGCATTTTTCGTACATTTTCACTTTCTTTGTACGATTTGAAGTTTTCTTATAAAACAAGATAAACCGCTTTTGACATTTTTTTCAACAATGTTCCCACGAACGATCCACGTTGAAATATGTTAATCGTAACGTTTTCAACTAACGGAAAAAAAGTAACTGGAGGTTATCAATTTTGCTCGTGGATTCGCTAAATCTAAGACTGTATCAAGAATTGGCTTAAAACCCGGTAGTACCTAGTAAAAAACTTGGCTTGTATTTTTGGACTGTTTCCTTTTCTAGTCATGACTACCTATTGCTAACGAGACTGATTTGTGCTTCGGATACTGTTGAAGATGATTTACTGCACCACGCTGGCCAGACGGGTTGGTATAGGGTTTATTTCAAGTTTTCGTACTTTACTCCCTTAGTCGGCTCTTACGACACCCACGGATGAATATCGGTGGTGACACTATGTATTCTTAATCCGTTACCACACGGATGATTATACGAATGAGGAATATGTTGTGATGCATAAAGACCCTATTTCGCCTATTCAATAGTACCCAAATCTAGTAATTATTTTATTATATTTAGCTACCATTTCCTACATAATGATTAAAAAATACTAGATTTACTGTTATATATAGCATGTAACTCACCTGCATAGCAACCCTAACAGAAGAAGAAAAAAAATGATAATAAATTTTAATTTTTAACGAATTACATGCCACAATGCTGTTTTATTTTTAAAGTACCAAATCTTTCCCGAGTTGCCAGTGCTTTGCTCAATATTTTATACTTAGGTCAGTTAGCAATTATCAATAATCTGTGGTCACAAGTAGTCACAACTGTCACATCCATAGATCTAAATAATAGATCGCAACGCATTCAATGTTTAGTATGTTTACCTTGCCTAAATAATCTTGTAGTACTATCGGTGTGAAAGATATCGCTGAAATACTTTTAATTTGGTGTCTATAATATTATCCTACTAATAACATTTCTAAAACTTTATTGTACGTACTTGTTTATAGTCTGACTAAGTGATCAATTTTATACGCGCCCATGAAAACGCAGCGGTGTAAAGGATTTAGTCAATAACGAGCTTATTATAAACGACATTCATATGCTCGAAAGATGGATTTCAGTGCTCAAAACCCTGCTACATCGAATCCACTAAATCTTGCCTCTAGAAAAAATGACGTCAATAATGTAGAGCGGTTGTTACAGACTTTAAATCCAAACTGTGTAGATAACCGGGGATGGACTTGTCTCCACGAAGCTGCTTACCATGATAGCTATGAAAGCATAATGTTGATACTTAAGGCACCCCAAACTAGAGTACGGGCAGAAACTCATGAAGGTCATACAGCACTCTATCTTGCCTGCAAAAATAATTGCTCACTCAAAACTATAACGGCTTTATTAGGCTCGGCAAAGAACATAGCCAATTATGGTAGCACTGAAGGAGTAACACCATTACATATTGCTAGTGCCCAGGGAAATGTTCCATTAATAGAGTTATTGTTAGAATATGGTGCATTTATAAATGTGCAGGATTTTGATGGTGACACACCTTTACATGAAGCTGCATTAGCAGGCCAACATGAAGCTATAATTACCTTGCTTTATTCAGGTGCAGATCCTGAAATTAAAAATACTCCAAATGGTTTTACACCATTTCACTTAGCATGCTGTAAGGGCTACTACCCGAATGTTGAGACTTTATATCCTTTTGTCTATGATATTAATGAAGAAACAAGTACAGGCGATACTGCCTTACATTATGCAGTTCATGGGGGAGCTGGTATTAATGTAGTAAACTTTTTATTAGACCATGGAGCTGATCCTAATAAATTAAATAATCAAGAAGAATTGCCTATTGATGCAGATAGGTCTGATGCAGAAGTTTTTAAAAAACTTTTTTCGGTAACTGATAGAGAAAACCTAAGTGAAAATATTATTATTGATGCTTGTTTACCACATAAATTTAAATTTGAAATATTAGAAACTTTATTATACAGCGACTTGGAACCAGATTTTTATAATCTTCTAACACCATATAACACATCGATTAACCGAGGTTTTCTTAATAATACAGAATATACCTCTCTTTCACCAGTTAATCATTTTTTGACCATATCTGCATATGTACATGAGAAATCACCTGAGAAATTTAGAGAATTTTTTTATTTATTCTTTATGCGAGGTGCCAATGTCAATATTGTTGATGAATTGGAGTGTCCTCCACTTGTATATGCACTATATGTTTTTCATACCAGTCCACAACAACTTCCATTTTTTAAAGAGGTGAATATGCTAGCTTTAATATTTGTGTCCGAAGAGAATAAAATACAAGAGAATCCATCATTAGTAGATATCCCTTTCAATATATCGAAATTATAACTACCAAACATATATTTTAAGTAAATTGTAGGAGATGTAGCATATAGTTTATGCACAATGTTACATCTACATTGATGTTATCAAGTTCTTATATTGCCAGATTGATAAATTGATACTTTTTAATTCAAAATTTTTAACACCTTCACTGCTGCCTATAATATATAAGAAATACCCTTAGACTGCTAACGAATTTACATAGGGTGTGTTTTCAGCACTGGAGTATTGTGAATAGTCGACAATGCATATAAAACAACTGTTGTGTTCCCGTACAGCAGTGCTAATAACACACGTTGTGTTCCCGACGAGAGTGCTGTAACCCAAACCCCTTGTGTTACGTTCGAGAGTGCTGAAAACATATGTTTGAGTGTATAAATGTTTTTTATTTTCATTTATTTTGTCCAATATGGGGTCTAGGAATAAATAAGTAACTAATTTATATTTAAAATATATTGGCAATAAGGCAAGTCTGCATTTAATATAAACTTCCAAGAAAATTTTATTGAAAAACCTTAAAAGTTTATATTAAATGTAGGTTAACTCAGGAACCGGGAAGACCGTCCCAGAGTTAACCTACCGTTATCTACCTTTACTTTCTTTTGCAGACGATACAAAAAAATAGAATTATTATTATTATTTTAAATTATAAATACATAACAAAAAAGACAAAACATTCTAACATCATCAATGTTGTTTTTAACGTGTGTGTACTTGTTTAAAAACTTGGTTATATAAGAAATATGATTGCTCTCAATGAAAACAACTACAATAATTATAGCAATTGAGTTACCTACCTTAAATTTTTTATTTTAGGTGCTCGATATACTCATACAAATCGGTTGTGATGTAGATTTTAGCAGCACTGGAAAATTCTTTTACAAGGATGTTAACATTCCTGATGCATTCCTCACAGCACTGGATATTTACCCGTTGTCTGCTCCAATAATGATGCCTTACAGTCTGTATAATGAACCCGAGGATTATTTGCAGTTTGCAATAGACACTGATAGAATGTTTTGGTTGCCAATAGAAGTAAGTCAATTTCTTTTATATATGAGACGATGTGGATTAATGAGTCTAAGTTAAGACTATTAAAAAAACATGATAGTGTAAACCTACATAGTTCTTTTGTAGGTCCCATTAACTTTTACACTACCTAGTGTAATAGACAAACAGTCTCCTCAGTACCGCGAAACGGAAAGGTTTGTGTGCAAGTTTTACAGACGCGAGACGTATGAGTTTTAGTGTGGACACATAGACACCACCGGAATATCGGGCTCAGCCATCACCGCAACTAAGTTTCGTAACCAGTTTCGTTACAGGAAATATTTTTCTTCGTTCGGAACAGGTTGCGAGAGAATTTTACTGTTAGTTAATGCGTTTTAGAATAAAAACCATACATCATACGCAGGAAAACGACACTGCAAAGAGGCAAACTTGAAACAAATCCTATACCAACATAATTGGCCAGCGTGGTATAGTAGGCCAAAATCTCCTTTCTAAGGAGAGGCCTATGTCCAGCAGTGGACTGTTTAAGGTTGCGGCGGTTGGGTGATGATGAAATAAGTAAGGAAATTAATTGAATTTTTATTTTATTGAATTTTAATAGGTAGGCTGTGGACACAGGGAAAAATTGGGTAATACATTTTTCTTAAATGCCTTACTTTGCTAAAAATCAATGCAAGTAAGTAGAAAGTGACTAATTTATTAGCTTAATACTTCAACTTATTAGGCTTCTTTATCTATTAATTGAAACTCTTAATTTCTTTTTTTTTTATTCAACCTGTACTGTCGGTCTCCAGAACATCTAGTAAATGTGTGTCTAGTGAACACTAGTAAATGTGTGTCTAGTGAACAATAGTAAATGTGTGTCTAGTGAACACTAGTAAATGTGTGTCTAGTGAACACTAGTAAATGTTCGATAGTTACGCTCGATGTATTTGATAATTTTTGTATGCCAGCTCTGTATAGTATTACTTGTTCTTAGTCGCTCATTTTCACGGTAATATTTCAGAATTTGGTGTTTTTATACATATTGCTTAAAATATTGATTTTCTATTATAGATGAAACGGTCCTTTAGCCATTACGTATCAACTGGTACCCCATATTTAATAACTTTTTTAACTAGTTTTTAACAAAAACGTAAACTCCATCTGTCTCAACAAAAATATTACATGTTACGCAACTGGTTACGAAACTTAGTTGCGATAGCGGCTGGAGCTGAATATCGCTACTAAATATCGTGTGCGTTAACCCAGCAAAATAATGCCAAAAATAGTCATTACAATGTTATAGATAACTAGTTGCCCAGCTTCTGTAATTTTTTAATTTTTTTGCACTTTTTTTAGTTATTTCACAAAATCCTTTTCTGCTGGGGTAACGTTAAAGCAGCCAGACTCACAGAGTTCTTTTATAATTGGCATATCAATAAATATAAACTACGCAGGGTTACTGTCGTAGATACTTTAGGGGGTTGTAGTAGCTACTATTTTTTTGGACTTAACCATTTTAATGATTTTTATAAAAATTGCCTAAATTTTGCCTAATACATTTTATTTTAGAACTTATATCCTTATTTTTTTACTGTTTTTATTGTAGTTAACTTTACAAACTTTGCCGAAATAGATGGTTGATAATAGCAAAACGAAATAATATAATAAGTTTTTTCATTGTGGAATATTTAAAAAAAGAACGTGTAACAATATAGGCGGTAGTCTGCTCACCGTACGTATTTTCGGCTCGTCGTACGTACATCAAGTGCAAAATAACAGCCATGAAGTTTCCAGAGATTCATTTTGAATACATTTAATTTTCAACTTTTTTATTTTATCACTTAAAAGTAAAAATAATAAATATATGAGGTTAATCAAAAAGTTCATAGAATGAATATAAAAATATCAGAAATTGAAATAAAAATATTTTATTTCTTTAAATAAGCTCCTCTAATCATAGAATACCGCTTCTCTTACTCCTTCTCTCTCCCTCTCTCTCCTATCTTATTCCTTCTGCAAGTCATTACAGGACTGTTTTTATATTGTTTGTTTTAAACTGAATTTATCTCTACTACCTAAAGTTTCAGGTACAAAAGGAACTATTGATAATGGTGGACAAGAATTTCACACGCCCTGACGCACTTGAAATTTATGTGCCATCTTTAAAACACCTTTGTAGATATACAATTCGTAGCCATTTCAGAAAAATGAGAAACGAAGAAGGTTCGCCAAGAGAATTCACCACCTCAACATTTATAAGAACAATTAATGAATTACCTCTCCCAGCTGTTGTTAAGAAATACTTAAGATATATTAGCAATTGAGCGATAAACGAGAGGATATTTAATAATTGATATTAATGTTGTATTATTTCAATATAATCTCATAATCGTTAACATCGTCTATGTACAAATAAGGAACCTTGCTTGTTAAAAGAGATGAGCTGATATTAATTACTTTCTTGTGAATCTTCTAAGGTAAAATAAAAAAACAAGTTATTCAAAAATGTCTTTATACTTACATAAATATATACATACTTATATATTTTACAGGTTGAACATATTATAATTTGTACATTATCTCTGATTAGGTTAAGTTCTGAATATTACTTGTTTTTAAAGTTAGCTCCATCAGCCATATGCTTTTCGATTTCAGCAACTCTGCAAAGAAAAAAAGTCCAATAATAAAAAGCATATTAACGGGTTATAAGAAAACTAGCTGGTATAGTAAAACATCTGGTATTTATTTGGGTTGCTTGGTTGGTTGCTGCTCTTCAACTCCCGCACTCGGGCGATGATCGTTAGGTTCATAAGAGGGTACAGCACGATCTCTTTTGAAATAGCAAGTCTCTTACCGGACACTCTGGCATACTTGAAAGCTATCTCTTACCAATGGTGCTGGACTGTGATGTGGACAAACATTTGTCATCAAGCTTTGGAAAAAAGTTACAGTTTTCTTAACCAATTTTCTCATGTACAGTTAGTATTATTTTCATTGTAAACTTTATTTTTTTAAATCTCCAGTTTTGATTGAGGTACACGACGCGTTTTGGTTTATGAAAATTCGTTTAAATAAACTCTTTCATTTTAATGCTGCCAATTTAAATTAGTTGAATTAAAGGGAACAGGAGAAAACGAATGTTACAATAGCACACTCAGCTGGTGTGATATTGTAACTTTAGTAGTAAATGACACTTTAGCATGGGCATACTAATGGAGTCATCAACTAATTTCCTCTTATACACAACTGCTCAAAATGCATTCAAGTCGGGATACAGTAAACTGTATTTGGTATAGTCGCAACCGTTGCTTACACTTAGTAAAAAAAAAAAAACAAATCTTATGGTTGCTTACGTTCTAGGCACGAAAGTTAGGTTCTCGACGCCTTCCTCAGTTATAAGCACATCATCCTCGATACGTACACCTCCGAAGTTTTTAAACTTTTGCATTTTCTCCCAGTTGAAGAATACAGATTGATCTGGATTGTTTTGGGCGCCAATCAAAAGCTATGGAACAGTAATGAGTAGGATTTCAATTTATCTTTATTTTTTATGTCAATAATCTAGAATAACTATATTCTCTATATCACTTACTAAAACTTAACAAATACATGGTTATGGACCATGTATTTGTTAAGTTTTAGTAAGTGAAGAAATTATATTATAATAAACTGGCGCTATAAAGAATTAAAAATAGTTGAACCCGACGGTGATTTTACAAACATACAATTTACGGACAAAGAGTAAACTCAAAATAACTATTTGTAGGAATATATGTATCTGGATCGATGTCGAGTTCGTTCAATAGGTGACTTTGACTATAAAATCCTTATGCTATAGATTTACATAAAACCGAAGCTGCGGCGAAAGCCGGTAGCTTTGCTGGGACAGCTACGTAGGTCACTATATAAGTTTTGAGATGCTCGAAATTTGAAAATGGAACGCATCTGTATCATATATTATTAAAAGGCAAATTTATTTGAAAATCAAACACAAAAGGTCATTCACAGCATTATTTCCTGCTTTCTCGCCTGTTGATGATGAGGCGAGTCTGCATCGGGCAACCAATTTTCGAAGGTTTAACGAATTTAAAAGGGGGCAAACTAGCCTTGAAATGATGACAGAAGTGGACACCCGCCAACAGCAGTCACTGCTGAAAATGTGTGGAAATACTACCCACGAATTACATACAGGAAAAAAAGAGAAAATCTTAGGCATCAGTTCGGTTAGTGTTTACACCATATTACATGAACATCTTAGAATGAGGAAGCTTGTAGTCGTTGGATACCTCGTTTGCTCTTCGAAACGGAAAAATGAAGCCCGTGTGGAATGGTGCCGTTATATGCGTCTACGTTTTGAAATTTGGCAACACCGCGGCACATTGACAAAAAAATGTTACCCACGGAGTGGACATCTTGCAACATTAATGCTAGAGAATTATAGGTCTGTTAACTCAGAATGGTACACTACACTCGCATTGCCAAAAGTTTTTAAAGCTGTGCAAGAGAGACGACCGAGACCGGGCTCCGGGTAATGATACTGCACCACGACAATGCGTCTTCAAACTTCTCCCTCGGAACAATGGCGTTTATTTAATAATCGGGTATTAAAACCCTACCTCACCCACTTTACGGCCCCGACTCGCTCCTCGTGACTTCTCTTTATTCCCCACCATAAAAGAAGATTTTTTTTCAAGTGCCGAAGAAGTGGTTATTTACGAATCGACCATTTTTGACTTATCGGAGGAAGACTGGAATAAGTGTTTCCAAGACTGGTTTAGGCGGATGGCGATTCGTATAGAGCGACGGGAAGTATTTTGAAAAACTATAATATAAATTGTAAGTATATATTGTTTACTTTGCGTGTCTCAAAATGTATATAGTGACGTAGGTAAACGAAGCCGTATTTGTGGTGTGAAGAAAGTCACCCTCGGTATGAAGTAGCAGCCGGGCTCGACGGTGAGCAGCATGCCGGGCTGCAGCCGGCGCGCCGTGCGCAGCCTGGCGAGCGGCCCGGCCGGCCGCGCGGGGCAGTGCGCCAGGTACCCGCCCACGTCGTGCACGTCCAGCCCCAGCAGGTGGCCCAGCCCGTGCGGCTGCAGCACGCCGTGCACTCCGTTCTGCACACCGCCATACTTTTACATCACGATCTATTTTATGTTTTACTTCTTATCCTTAGAGATTAGTTGCGAGAGCGATGTCGTCGGACATTACACACCGACTACCGCTCTGGTGTACGGGACGATGACGATGATTTATGTAGATGGCGATTAAATAACGATACCTTTTCCGTTAAAATTCCATTCAATTAATAGTTAAAATTTCCATTATCAGTGAGTTGTTTTACTTAGTTCATTCTACCAGTGAATTCGATAAGTGCTGTAAATAAATATTGAAAGCTGGTAGCTACTGACCGTGCGTCCTTTAACCCGAGCGTCAGTAATTTTAAATTTTGTGTTTTACTGTTGCTGTTCTTTACAGTTTCATTACTTTTTTACAATCGAGTTCACCTCGAAATCCGTAATTATTTTTTAAGATTCTCGAAATCTCGGGAAAAGTAAATATAGCCGGGATCGATTTCGCTATATCCAACGCAGATACCCAAAAGTTCTTACATCTGTTAACAATCGCCAAAATTATAGTGTATATATAAATGTATATATACATTTATATATATACACTATACACTTATGTCAAAATAATACCTTTATCATGTCTTCAACATCACCTTTCAGGAGATTGCCTTTTTTCAAGTGATCGAGCATCGCTCTGTTAGCGGTCAAGTGCATTTCCTGCCACATTACACCTGGTTTAGCTTCTCTGTAAATATGAAAAAAACATTTGTTATTTTTGACCAAACACTCATAAGTGTTGGATGGAACATAACATAAACCAAAAACTATCCTTACGGACAACCGTCAATCTTAACATAGTACTCATATAAAATAAAGTCGCTTTTTTAGGGTTCCGTGATCCTATTACTCAAACGGGACCCTATTACTTAAAACTCAGCTGTCCGTCCGTCTAAAAATAAATACTAAAAACAGAATAAAATAAATATTTAAGGGGGCTCCCATACAACAAACTTGTTTTTTTGCTCGTTTTGCTATCACCTACAGTAACAATTTTTATCTTTTACATATTCTAAAAAATAATGGGTAGTTTACAAAGCTATTTTGAACAATACAGTATTATTTCTTATCCAAATAAATACGTTAGGTACGTTGTGCATTTAATCTTGATCAAAATTGCCTGCCACAGCATATCATTAAAATGAATATCTTAGCAGATATCAGAGATTTAAAATACGGGGCCAATAACAGCCGGCCGCGGCCACCCGGAACGTACGGGCCTATAAATATTACATAATATAAAGATGTCCCGTAGTATAGTCTTTTCATAATAATAGTATAATTAATTACTCCACACTGACACTACATTAATAGTATCTACATTGCACCCGTGCGAAGCGCTAGTTATTTGATAATTGTGTCTAGGACTATAATTGCGTGCCCACTCCTTTTTTATGGTATTTGTGACAATCGAGCGGACGGGTTGCCTGGTGGTAAGTGACTACCGCCTCTCACTTACCAACAGGCAATCCGTCCGCGCGGCGGCCTATTGACACCTGCCACTCAAGAGACAAAAGAGATTGAGGCAGTTTGGTTAGGTCAGGGAAAAACAACAGTCCAGCCATATGCGCCGAAGCATGACTCTTGCATTGACTGCAAGGATGGCATAGTGGTTTAAGCGGTCGCCTTGCCGTTTCCTACCACGCTGAATGTTGTGAGTTCAATCCCCAGATGGGACAACACTTTGTGTGATCTACAAATTGTGGTTCTAAGCTTGGGTGTTCTTTGTGTCTGTTTCATGAACGTTTGTAAAGTCTCCTGGCGACACCGGATATATTTCTAATTAGGTGTTGTTTAAAAAAAATCGCCATTGATGACAAACGAGGTACAAAAGTGACGCAAAAAATGATAAAAACAATCTATAAAGCTTGTTTAAACTCAATCCATCAGTGCAGAACTTTTTGAATTTTGTAAGAGTACACAAACCAACCTAAAATTTAAGAGATAACAGATAATTCACTGACTACTTTATTACATATGAATAATCACCTTAAAACGGCATCCCTTGCAGCCAGCACAGCCTCATAGATGAGTTTCTGATCTTCAGTAAACTTGCCGTTGGCGGGGAATGAACACGTTATGTCAGCGGCGTACCCGGCGTAGTTGCCGCCCATGTCAAACAAACTGTAATATATCAAATATTAATTTATTTATTACATAAATAATTGAAATTACTTTACTTTAAGGTACATTTGATAGGGGGGTCAATCAGGGGTCCATAGACTGAGCAGGCTAGGATTGCAATGTGTTAACTTATTCGGTTACCACTTAGCCACGAGCACTGAGCTATTTTATTTTTATTACTTGTATAATAGTATTGTAAATAGTAACTGTAAATAGTAACAGGTTTATGAACAACTAGCTAAAACCCGCGGTGTTATAACCGCGGGCAACGCCGCGGGGAGAAGCTAGTCTAAAAAAAGTCCCGTCGAAATCGACAGACGAAAATTGTAAAAAATGTTATTTTGGCATATGTACCGTGTAAACATACATATGCATTTAGTAAAAAGCGGTTATTTTAATATTACAAACAGACACTCCAATTTTATTTATTTGTACACAAAAATATTGATCAGTAGGGATATAAAACTCATGTGTTACCTACCTATCACTTACTGACGCAGTGTTTCGTTCTGAACAAGCTAGCTAGGCAAAATCATTTTTTAACCTAACATAAACATTTTTATGAACACTAGCTGACCCAGCAAACGTTGTATTGCAAAACAAAAAAAAATTAGGGATGGGTCACCCTTACCATTTAGGGGTATGAAAAATAGATGTTGGCCGATTCTCAGACCTACCCGAATTGCACACAAAATTTCATGAGAATCGGTCAAGCCGTTTCGGAGGAGTACGGGAACGAACATTGTGACACGACAATTTTATATATAAGATTACTTAAACACCTTAAAATCTTGTTTAGCACTAAAATAAAATCGCTTTTTGAAAACATAATTTTCATTGCAATTAAAAGATTTATGTGCTAAAACAAATCGCTCCTAGATCAATAACAATTAATATTTAAGTAATTTGAAATATTTAGTTACTCTAATGTTACTAATCACTTAATTAGAGCGTACTCCTTCCTAAAAGGCCGGCAACGCGTTTGTGACTCCTGAGTTGAAGATGTTCCATCTGGTCACTTTCCATCAGGTGACCCGTCTGCTCGTCTGCCCCCTCTGACATAAAAAATAAATATTATAATAATATAATATAACTAACAACAAATTTATCTCAAAACTACCTAACTAGGTTATTCTGAGAAAAAAACCTTCAAAAGGTAATTACTTATCGTGCATAACTTCATTTCCAGATGAATTTTCTAAAAAATAATAGTCAGAACTGATATTAACACTGGTTACATTTCTAGGAATATTTGTTTAAACTTTGACAAAGACACTAGTTGATTTTCTTCTGGAATATCTCTAAGGCTTAATCACAAAGGCACAAAATCTTGGGTGAGGCCTTTGTTCAGCAGTGGACGTCTTTCGGCTGAGAAGTATAAGAATTACAATACATTAATCATACCACATATCGCCATTTTCGAGCATCTTAGAGTTAGGCGCACCGGCGTGACCATAGTGCAGTGTGGCTCCGTTATCTCCCGAGCCGCAGATACAAGTGTACGAAACGTGACGACACCCACCGACTCGGTAACAGTGGTCCAAGAATACTGACTCACATTGATACTCTTTTAGGCCAGGTTTTACGTAGAGCATCACCTGTTACAGAAGATAAAGAAAAAAGTCTACATTTATTTAAATTCTGGGGCTTTTATTTATACCGAAACTTACAGAAAGTTCTACAGGAGTTTATTAAAGACTTACGAGTTACTGTCTAAGCCTTTGTCTAACCTTGATTGTATATTTTTTCTTATTTTAAATGCACTAATCCTATTAGAGAAGAATATATTAATAGGCATTAAAAAAAGGTGAAGAATTTAAAGTTCTGCACAACTTCGTTACTTACATAAATATTTGGTAATGTGATTAGGGGATCAATCCATGAAATATGCAATCAAAGCGTCAATTGATTAAAGAATAATTGCAAGTAGTTTAATTACGAACAATTGCAGTTAATATACAAATATTAATCCCATTAAACAATACAATTTACTATTATTATTTGTATTACAATTAACGATTCAATTTTGATTGCGGTAGTAACAATTTACAACTGTTACTAGCTTTTGTTTTTCAGCATTTTTATTTTGGTTAACAGTATCTGGTTGAACCTTACATTGAACCGGTTGAGTAGTCAAGGCGTTGAAGCATACTAAGCAAAGTGACTTTCGCCGTTTTTATACTATTGTTAGAATCGAGAGACTTGATAATTTGGGAATCGAATCCACTAGTATCATAGGGGCAGTTCAGGGTGTGATCACACATCTAAAATATTTAAAAACAATTTTCAAACGTTAAGTTTACAGGACAACTACTAATGTAATCTTTTATAAAAATGCAATTAAAAAATGAACAACCTGTTTATGTGCATCTGACGATACTTTACACACATATCGCATGACTTCAATTTCCTCTGGAGTCTTGATAACGCGCCTGTAATAAAATATACATTGATTAACATACCATTTACGCTATGCAAAGTTTAGAGATTTATGACCTCTGATAAAAATACTATGTAAATCCGTTATATGTGAGTTAATTAATATATTTTTTATTTTTGTACGTCGAGGAACTAAATAGGTACCTACTACATGTTAGATTTCAAGTAGGTTATTAAAACTTGTTTTCTATATATTTAAAAAATCTGCAAAAACACCACTTTCTTTTTGGGCTATTGATCATAGTAATATATGTAAATAAAAATAAATGTCGAAATGTATAGCTAAGCTCGAAACTTGAGTGGCTCAACCATTTTTGCTAATTTTTTTCATATTTTCGTTTGGGCAAAAGGAAGATTCTTGTAAAGAGAAGAAACGTAAAAATTGCGAGAAAATAGTAGTGTGGCGACTCCCACATACAAAAAACAGAAACATACTACAACGCCATCCAGTTCCGACCCACTGGAACTACTCACTGTTGGCACTGGCATGCTCCACAACAGGGCATAGACAGCTGACTCATCATATATCGACCTCAGGTGTTGGAGGGGAGTGATGTGGCGACTCCCACATACAAAAAACAGAAACATACTACAACGCCATCTAATGAAGACACACCGAACTACGGAGTAACTACTGAAATAAGAATTGCTAATCCTGTATCGCGATATAAAGAATTCCCTCGCCGATTAGCATATATACAACTTCCCAACATCATCCGTTGGGGGCCGGGGCCCGCCAGGCATGATCACCTCGCCTGGTCGGAGGATCCTCCCTTTGTGTTGGAGGGACATGACACCCGTTCCTCCACAGTAGAAACAACACTTTTCCCATACAAATCACAGAGTAAAAGACCTGTCCCTAACTGTCGAACATTTTTTTTTTTTTTTTTCTCTTTATTGATTTAACGAGGGCTTAGTTACGAAGTGATTATGCCGCCCTCATAGGAGAACATTATTTAAAATCTATTAAGCATACAAATTTTAGCTATATTATACAGCGCTCTCGCTTTCTCCGAGAAGGGGAGCGCGAGAATGCTATTACATATACCAATATTAAAGTTAGGTTCACAAAATAATTGTTTTCTTTCGGGTTCGTTCCGGAGACACTCCATCAGAATATGGTGTACATCTTCTACTTTGTTACATAATGAGCAGTTGGGGGAATCGACTTTACCAATTAAATGTGCAAAGCTGTTCAGTGGGACGTGTCCGGAACGAAGTCTGAGAGCCATGATCATGTCTGGCCTGCTCATATTGGCTTGATCGATACAGGGATGTTTATGTATAGTAGGCTGAATGGTTCGGTACCAAATACCTTTAGTTAGCGATCTTTTATCGAAATATTCTGACCATAGTTGAAAACAGCGATTCTTAACCACATACAATAAATCAGAATAATATGGCAAATATGCAAAATCTAAACCATCAACGAGAGATTCTTTAGCTAATCTATCAACTGTCTCATTCTCGGTCAATCCAATATGTGCAGGTAACCACTGCAGTGTTATATTCTTATTATTCATTTCTAGATTTTGTATAGAACGCATTATATTATAGGCTATCGGGGTCCCTCGAGTTTTCGAGGAGCACCGAGCCAGATGCTGGAGAGCGCTCTTCGAATCTGACAAAATTACATAATCGCCGCTATGAAATGATTCAACATATGCTAAGGCTTCACTTATTGCAACAAGTTCTGCATACATTATGTTCATATTACACTTTATATTAAGTTTCACAGAGGAGTTTGTTTGTGGGTCGAAAAACGCTGCTCCAACCCTGCTACCGTCCTTCGAGCCGTCAGTGAAAATTTTATACCATGTGCTATAGTACTGATTGATATATTGACTACAAACTTCTCTTAGGTTAGACGGCGTGTAAAACCGTTTTGCAGTATGAACATCTTCTATATTATATTTAATATTTTTAGAAAGATCCACATAGGTGACCCAAGTGTTCAAAGAAAACATGTCTAATTGTGAGCTAAAATGTATCGGTAAAAATTTAAGATAGTCATGTATAGAAACCAACAGAGTTATTTTCCTGTTTCTCCAATATGTATTATCGCTAAAATTTTGTAACTCCTCTAACAAAGCTATAATGTTATTTTTTGTAAAAGATTTCGATGTAAGCCAATATTTCCCAGCCAAGTAATATCTACGTATGTGTAAAGGTTGTAAACAGAGTTCATTTTCCATGATGTGTATAGCAGTGCTCCTAATGAATCCCCCTATCAATCTCATAAAGATATTTTGTAATTTATCTAGCTTGTTGATATGAGTTTGACTTGCATTATCATATAACATACTGCCATAGTCGAACCTACTCCTAATTAAAGTAATATACAATCGCCTCATATGGATAGTATGTACACCCCATTTTGATCCACTAAGTACCTTAAAAATGTTTATAAACTTCATTACCTTATCAGTTGTTTCATTAATGTGTTTATGCCATCATGCTAAATACTTTACATTGTCCGTAACCGCCAACGATATATCCCTAATTTTGAGATCAATTACTTCTCTCTTATAGCCTCTTTTAAAAATACAGACTTTACTTTTTGTTTCCGATATGTCAAGACCAATATTTGCGAGTAAATTACTAAGTAAATTTAGTGCATGCTGTAAATTTCGTACCATGTGTGATACACTACCGCCGGTTACGTACAACGCAAAGTCATCAGCATACTGTGAAACACTAACATTGACTATTTCCTTGCAAATGGCTACAGTAGCAATATTAAATAATAGTGGAGAGAGTGGGTCACCCTGTGCCAATCCCCGTCCCGTCCCGATTTCTTTCTTTAAGATAGTTCCAAATATATGTACACATTCTATGTCCCACCCCTAGACGGTCCATTATATGCAACAAACTTACTATATCTATATTATTATATGCATCATTGATATCTATAAAGCAACCTATGGTTGTTAAATTTTCAGAGAACCCAATTTGTATCTTTAAAACTAAATCTGCTAAATTATCTATTGTAGAACGACACTTTCGAAAGCCTGTAGTTGACATCGACATATGATGATTTTTTTCCATAAACCACTCTAATCTATTCATTAGTATGGTATGGAATATTTTACAAACACAAGAAATCATTGATATTGGTCTCAATGATGATGTACTATTCGGATCACGGCCCGATTTAGGGATTGGCACAATCGTTACTTCCCTCCATTGTTTAGGTACGAACCCTTTTTCAAGAAAACTATTGAATAATAATAATAACATTTGCTTTGCATTTTCCGGTAACTGCTTTATCATGGAATATGAAATATTATCATGACCCGGTGAGGTATCCTTATTTCGAATAGCTCTGTTCATTTCGTGATAAGAAATTCTTACTTCTAACTCAGGGTTATCACAAGAAAAAGACAAATCATAATTTCTTACGAAGTCCGGTGTTAAATTATATAGAAGCTGCTTGGCTTTTACCTGATCGATATACGTTCCACGAGACTTGTACCCCTTCAGCCACTTCATTTTTCTCCAGACTTCACTTGAGGAACAAGTTTCGCCTAAAGAGGAACAAAACGTTTGCCACGAAGCTCTTTTAGCGTTACGTATGGACTTCTGCGCTATACGTATTTTGTCTTTTAATATATCTAAGTTTTCGGGGGTAGGGTTACGTCGCAGTCTCGCTAACGCTTGTCGACGCTCAGCGACACACTTAGATAATTCCGCACTCCAGTAAGGTTTAGGGTTAAATGTAGTATTAGGATCATTATTTATTTTTATAAATGGTATATGTAAATCAGCAGCTAAATTAATAAACTCGATAAATAAATCATAACATTTTTGTAAATTATTTGAAAAGATGAAATGTTTAAAGTGATCAGATAAAAACGCTTGATAAGCTTCCCAATCGGCTTTTTTATAGTTTCGACGAATAAAATTGTTTTGACTTACCCCCATATCTGACGACATTCTTATGACACGGTGGTCACTACCTAAAGTTTCATTTAACGGGTCCCAGTCGAATTTTAATGCTATGTCAGAGGATACTAATGACACATCTGGGGCTGATTGTTGTAGAATGCCACTAACGAGCTTGATTCGCGTCGGACTGCCGTTATTTAATATTATGAGTTGGTGATCTAGCAATGTATCAAGGATCTGCGTACCTCTAGAATTAGTTTTCGATGACCAATTATTGTGATGTCCGTTTAAATCTCCTAGTAACATCGTATTATTGCTGCACTTGGAAAAGATTTCGTCCCAGTCATTTCGGGTAATGTGCACTGACGGAGGACAGTAAATAGAGTATATATAATTTATATCTGGGCAATTAAAAATTTTAATGGATACTATTTCTATTTGAGTATTTGTTATTTGTATAATATGTGGCTGTGATTTGATGGAAGAGTGTGTAATAATAGCTACACCCCCGTAACCATCGTTTCTGTCCATGCGGTGTATGTTGTACCCACTTATGTGCAGGGGGCTAGCCGGCTCTAACCATGTTTCACTTAGGACAGCAATGTGGATCCTTTCTTGGAATAACAAATTTTCAAATGACGTTAATTTGGGACGTAAACTTTGTGCATTCCACTGAATAATATTGAGATTACGTGTTATTTTGGTTTTATACATTAATTAAATCTAGAATTTTTTTTAATATTGGCCACTCTGCTATATTATCAACTACCACTAAAATTAACCACTGCACGCAACATTTAATAACACTATGGAACTTAGATTGTAGCGAAACATTATTTAAAAATATAATTTCCTTAAGTCTTGACAGTAATTCTTCAAAATTAACTTCTCTTCTTTTATTATCTGCCGGGGCTGTGTTAAGGGGATCGCCTGTATCACCTTCATTCAAAATAGGTTCTGATGATAAACGACTTCCTGGTGTACTCGAACTATAGGTCTTCTTTTTATTCCCGTGACTAAAATGTCTTGTCGGTTCCTTTTGACGTGACAAAGCTTTGACTACATTAGCGTATGTGGGCATATTGCAGTAATTAGTTTCACTAACAGGCGTAAAATTTTTTGTTTCGGTGATGTTTTCTGTATCGCCGTGCTTAGAAACGCTAGGAGGCACGTACATTGTCAGGGCTTTTCGGTATGTACAGTTAAATTGACCCATTAGGTCTCTGATCTTCTTCTCCTTAACATACGCCGGACATGACCTGACTAATGGCATGTGATTTCCACCACAATTAACACACTTAAAGGTTACATTATCACAGTTAGGATGGTTATCCCCACATTTTGGGCACACTACTTGCCTAGATGTACATGTCTTATTCAAATGTCCAAACCGCCAACATTTACTACATTGAGTCACTGGGAATATATAAGGTTCCACCCTTATCCGCAGCTCATCTACTAAGATATATGTGGGAATATATGAGCCCTTAAAGCATAATAGAACCGCTTCACTCCGGATCCACAATTCTTCACCTGCTGAGGCGCCTTTGTTCCGTTTTTTAAGACGTTTTGCTGAAAGTAAGTGCACACCTTCTGGGCAAGAAATACTCTCGAATATTGTTTCATCAGATATATCAATATCAACATTTTTTATTACTCCGTAAGTACTATTTAAAACCATAGCTCGGTTGATCCTCCATCCCTTTTGAAGGAAGGTTTCGGAAGTCTCTAACTTGTTAGCAATCGTCTCATCTTTTAGTTCAACCCGTAGTTTATAAGAGTTTATATATTTTATTTTTACTATATCTTTGATACCCTCCTCTTTGAACAATCTCGCCAATGCGAATTGCTTAGGTAACATTTCTTTACAGGAAATATATAATTCGATCATATCTTTTGCCTTTTTCCCTTTTTTTTGCACTATTGTCCAGTCTTCTTCCACGTCTGCCTCATCTCTTGCCCTTTTTCCTGATTTTCTTTCTTTATTCATCCCAATATCTTCCTGATTTTGATCCGTATAATCCTCTAGCATATCCTGCTCGCTTATTAGGTCAGTCTCCGATAACATATCTGTATAAACAAACTTGTTTTTATTGTGATCGCTGTCATCCTCCATTATGCAAGAAATAATGTATTTTTCGATTAATCACACATCGTTTGGCCCGCAACCTAAGCAACAGTCGGCCGGCCGGCCGAAGGTCACCTTGCGCCGGGCGCAGGTAATAGAAAGAAAGTTGAGTAGGTATTTACTATAATCCCGACCGCGTCTATCGCATACGAGTACCGTAACGCAACTCGAACTGTCGAACATTTGAAGTCAATCAATACAAAACAAAGGCGCGTTAGGATGATCTTTGGTATACCATCAAGTTGATTAGGCTGGTATTAATCTTTTTTTTAATCCAGCCCAAAATAAAGTTCGAAGAAAAGTGATAACTCTGAAAAAAGGTTTATTACTTTTTACAGGCTAATAACTTTTGTCAGAACGAAGTCTGTTGGGGTACATAATATTTTTAACAGCCTAGATATTTGTAGTAGTTGTCGTAAGGAATTGTAGGCAAACCGGTCTGATTAAATATATGTAGGTAAAAAACAAAGGAAGCGATGACATAAAAAAAATACTTATATTTTTATCTTATTGCCACACTTTTCTTAGGGCTTTTCGTTAGAAACAAGTATGCAATAAACTATATAAGATAACAAACTTATAATTTGTTAAATTATAATAGGGATTACAGCGATATTGATGAACAAATAGTAGCAATAAAATATAAGGGGTATTAAAATATTATATTTACTTAAGCAACATGCAGAAAGATCATAACAATCTATATAATCAGATAACGTGAATGATATACTTACAGTTCGGCGATAATAGGGAATAACGTTTCATTGTCAACTTTGAATCTGGAATATGTAAAAATAAAATATTTATACAAAGATTTAATCAAATTAACCAACATATTACTAACGCATCTTATGCGCAATTAGATATAAATATATTATTCAGTAATGCTCCTAAAAAATAGTGTATTGATCAAATTTTAAGGAGGTTATTATAAAACATGGATGAGACATGTATAAAATAAAACTCTAAGTCTCTCTCTAAGTTCTAAACTCTCATATCAGTATAATACAATAGGTAACTGCTTATTGTTTTTAATTTCTATGTTAGATTCATCAAGATAATATACCAGCAAGTTTATAGGTCCAGACTCAAGAAAAATTATCAAAATTTCTCTCTGCCTTGTAAACTCTTCTGTATTTTAAGTACTACCGCTCATGGTTATGTAAGTTGGTTGGTTGGTTATATAAGTACTTAATTATAAGTTTTGGAAACTGAATTTGGCGCGATGGGCGAGTCCGACTCGCACTTGTCCGGTTTTTTTTTATTGCATTTATGGCATGTCTGTTAATGGAGTTGTGGGATTGTTAAAAACATTGTATTAAAAAGTGAGAAAAGCTTTCGTTACGTTACGTTAGCTTTCGAAACGGAGCCACCGTTTACATAAATATGCATATTTCGGGTATTTCGTAAACGGCTACAATTATTTAGATCAAAGTTTACGTACATAGTTACAAAAAACGAGTGAATTCACTGAAGTATTCCAATATTTGTTTGTTGTTTAATACTTACTCATCAATCCCTTCAAATACAGCCTCTTTAGCAGTCAGACCACTATCTGTATTGGTGCCACACTATAGAAACAGAAAGGAAAAATAATGGTTAACTTATAAAACAATACCCAGAATAACAAGGGGGGCTTGCGGCTATTTGCTGACCAAGAGGGTGAAGTCGGACAATAATTTATCTACATGACTTCGAAATCGCCTATACTTGGGTTTTGGAGGTCTGATGGCAGTCTTTCCACAAAAAAATAAAACGAAATTCAGCCATTTCATAGAAGACTGAAAACCGACCCCAACCTAGTTTGGGGAAAGGCTGATGAGGGTTGATGACCCAGAATTCACATGAATTAAAGTAATAAATAAATATAAATAAATTTATAAATAAATAAAAAAAAAATTGATTTATTACTGGTAATTACAAGATCAATAAAACATATACTATTCATAATCAAAGTTATCCTATGTATTATTAGGGGTTCAGAAAGCTATCCTTAATAATTTGTGTCCAACATTTCATGGCTACTGGTTAAGTAGTTTGCCCTAACTACTTAACCAGTAACCATAGCATAACAAGCAAATAAACAAGATTATCCTTACTTACCAATGTCAGCAGCTGGTCTGGATTTAACTTTTTGAGTACTTCTTGAATCTGAAATGATAGAAGGGAAAATAAACAACAAGGAAATATCTATTGTATCATGTTATCTAAGTTAATTAAATGTTACTGTTACTGACAAATAGTTACATACCTATTACAATGCAATTATATAAGTGTATGTGATAACAAACATAATAGAATTGATATTAGTGCATGCCTCATAAATAATTTGTTTTAATTTAATCATTCATTTTAATATTTTCTTATACTCTTATTATTCTGAAAAGTTAATATTAATAAAACATGATTTTATTCCTTATAATACTAGTAAGTAATTTTGCAAAAAAAAAATTGCTTGCTCCACTTCCGAGTAAGGTGCTAAACCTATAAAACACATAGACTAGACTCGATGATGATGGCCTTGCCACTACTATCATCCATAGACAAAAATACCTTATATCCCAAAACAAACCATACAGTGCAAACACTGTGTAATGTTATTTTTTATAACAATAAACTCACTAAAACTTAACTATTCCAAAATAGATTAATTAATTAACCCAATGCAGCAGTATAGACATACCCCATTAGGAAGAAATACATTCATTTTTAGAGACAGTAAATATTTATCATTATGTTAATCATAATACACATTATTTTGTATCTAGGAAAGTATAGTCATAGCTTAATACACACTATCATACATATTACACTGGGACTGTAACATGGTTGAAACATCAGGCAATTGAAAGGTATGCAATACCAATTAAGTGATCACATTATATTTATAATAGTTGTGGCAAAGCAAAAAGTTTTAAACAAATATATTTGGAATTATTTAACTATCAAATATGTATTAAAATTAATTATGTATTCAGTTGTTTTTGTTTCTTCACTCAATATGATGTTTCTTGAGTTTTGTTACAAAGAGTTTACAATGTATGCCAAATATTTCATCAAAAACACAAGACAGTATTTATCTATTATGATACAAGCTTGAAAAGGCATGTATCAGACTAATGTTAGGATAATAATTAGTAAATAATATGAACATGTTATTTGTACCTCATCCACATAATACACTTCATCAACCCCATAGATTTTTTTGAAGTCATTGCAGCTTAGCAGCTTGCCCATCCAGACCTCATACTCCTCAGGAAGGCGTGGTACAAATAGAATGGACTTGTTGGTAGTCACATCCAAGGCAAAGTAGCAGCTTGGCTCACGAACACCACATACCCAGGTAAAATAGGCTTCCTACACAACCAGGAGACATAAAGTTGGTAAAAAGGCATAGTCTAGAAAGCAGACATTTAGCAATTGTTTGCTTTTCTCAAGTAGCATTTGTTATAAGACACTTATGTACATAAAGCATGTAGATATTAATAATGTAATAAATACCTGTCTAAACACATACTGAACATCTGTATCATAATGGTTAACGTCTTCACCACCCTGCAAAACTACAACTTGACCACTTTTTAGTTTACTTGCAAGGCGAGTTCTATTCTTAACGAACAGCGAGAGTGGCACTTCGTAAGTTCCAGGACCCATGGACCACGTAGCTGCCATCTTCGATGACAAACCGATACTGAACTTTGTAGAGTTTGTAGTTGACTTGCACAATAAAACACTTTGATATGATAAGCGATTATGTGTTTGAAATAGATTACGCTCAACGATATTAAAGGCTGGCTTGTTACGACAAAACTTAATAGACTTGAATCGGTTACTGATTATATTTGTTGTACACCTTATTCCTAACATTTATATAAACTAAAGCTTACTTCGTAATAAAAATATTTACATTTCATTTTTCTTTTTTTTACCATAGATAATTAATTAAAAAAAAAACAAAGTGCTTGACTTTGCTAGATCGTATAATTCGTATACGATTGACTTTTAAAGCTTTGCCTTTGTCAAGATAATTTTGAACTAAATTTATATAGGACTAGTTACCATATTTTCACCAACTTGGGAGGAGTGACCAGTGATATACGTTCACTCTAATCGATCATGCTATTCACCAGAAGATGGCAGTAATAAAATATATTTAGGTTAATTGTTGCAAAGCCAGCTGATGAGATAAACATGATTAGTAGTATAGCTGACGGTTATTTACAGTTTCAAGAAATAATTGAATGATAATATATGTCATCAAAATGATAGATCTGTCACCGAATAAGTAGAGAAACGAGATATAATTTGCAAGGCCAAATATAAAATTTTTGACTTTCTACACTTTAAGTATATCTTTTTAATTGGTGGTGATGGGGGTGTTTAGGGCTGACATAGGGGGCCTAAATAAACGTTAGTTACGCTTAGACGCACCGTTTCAGAGATATGGCGTAAAATGATAACCTCATCTACCGTGTTAGGTTAGTGTTGAGACCAACAATGAACCGCCTGCAAGTATAAAAAAATGAAAAGAAATGTCTTTTACGACTATGATTTATCTGGGTGGTAAAAAGAGAAAAACTTATTACCACCCAGATTTCTTCGTTATGTCCTGGAGAAAGATTATCAATTGTTAAAAAGATGACTGTTTAGAATTTTTAAAATTTGATATTATTTTCAAGTATATTAATATGTTTAGTGTAATAAATACATTTTAAAATAAAGTTTTATACATTGTTTGGTGATTCACTACTGGTGACACTTCTATTTTTTGAAACCCAATACAATTATTTGATGACTGATATTATTTCCAAGTAATTCTTAATTAATATTTAAGTTACCGTTTTAATGTTATTTGTTGATTCAATTTTGCTGACAGATCTACTATTTTAGGAACAAATAAACCCATACTTGAATATCATATGTTCTTCACCATCAGATTACAAAAATAAAACAATGCCGCTACCTGGCTCTCGTTTTCGCATGTTTAAAACAATACACATTTACTGCAACCTTTCATAGAGATACAAAGGAATACCGTTTTGACATACTTTAATCTTATAAATTATTTTTAAATAAAAAAGAAACCGCCTTAAAAAACACTAGGAACTAAAAAGCAAAAAATAATTGGTAAACATCAAAGGAACCGAGTGAGATGGGTGGGTACTCTGTCGGGCGAGTACAGGCTGAAATGCGGAGTTAGACAGAGAGGATTAAGCTCGCCTCTGCTATTTAACATTTATATGAACCGGCTTATCGAGCGACTGAGCGGCACACATGTCGGCTGCCATATTGACGGAACCTGTGTTAATAATATAAGCTATGCAGACGATATGGTGCTGCTCAGTCCATCGATAAGTGGGTTGAAGAGGTTGATATCGATCTGTGAGGCCTATTCGGCGGATCATGGCTTGATATAAATAAATAAAATAAAAATAAAAAAGCCTTTTATTTCTTACTAAAAATACAGTTACAATTAATCTTAAAACTATTAAATACTACTACTACTACTACTATTAATTATCTAATTTTATACAGTAATCTGTGCGCTAAGTAGTAAGAACCCCTCTTAATCGAAGGTGAAGGCCTCCTCTAGAGATTTCCAAGCGTCCCTGTCGGTTGCTGTGTCCATCCAACGATCGCCGGCCACTTGAGTTATGTCATCGGTCCACCGGGCAACTGGTCTGCCCCTCTTCCTAGAGCCTGCTGGTCCGACCCAAGACGTCAATCTCTTCGTCCATCTGCTATCTGTCAGCCGCGTTATGTGGCCGGCCCAGCGCCACTTTAATTTTTTGCAGTGACATAGAGCATCAACAACCTTAGTCTTTTTCCGAATAGTTTTATTTGGTACTTTTTGTATCTTTTTCAAGTTTAATATGCTTCTTTCCATCCCGCTTTGGCATGACCTAATTTTGTTTTTAGCTTTTATAGTGAACTTCCAAGTTTGACTGCCGTAAGTTAGTGATGGGAGAATACAGGTATCCATGACTTTTTGTTTAATTCTAATTGGCATTTCACTTTTTAAAACTTCTTTCAGACTCCAAAATTTCTTCCATGTGTTTGCAATTCTTCTTTCTATTTCATGGTAATTTCTTTGCTTATCGAATGATATCTGCTTCCCCAGGTAAATATAAGTGTCGACATATTCTAACTTTTCATTTTCTAGGTATATTGGGTTCCTGCTGTTATTTGTCATGATATTTGTTTTATTGCGATTTATTTCTAGACCAACCTGTAGACTAGCTGTGTGGAGGGCGTTTATCATTGATTGTAGTTGTCTTGTACTTTCAGAAAATAGGACGATATCGTCTGCGAATCTTAAGTGACTTATATACTCATTGTTTATGTTTAAACCGACTCTTTCCCAGGCAAGCTTCTCGATCACGTATTGTAGTACCGCTATGAAAATTGTTGGGGAAATAGGATCGCCCTGTCTAACCCCTCTTTTGATGGGTATAGGGGGACCAGTCGAATCTAATCTAATTCTACTGTTGCAGTTTTGGTATATATGTTGTAGAACCTTGAGATATTCAGTTTCAATATTTTGTGATTGTAGAGCTTCCCAAATAGAGTGATGATACAAAGTATCGAAAGCTTTTTGGTAGTCGATGAACGCTAGGTAGAGCGGTCTCTTAAACTCTTGGTATTTTTCTATAACCATTTCGATAGAGTGGATATGGTCCATGGTAGAAAATCCTCTCCGGAATCCGGCCTGTTCTATAGGTTGATGTTTTTCTATGGTACTTCTGATTCTTTTTTCTAAAATTGATGAGAGGCTTGATATACAACTCGAAAAAGAGTGTTCTACTCATATTTAAAGTGCCTAATCAGCAATCACGTATTGTTCCGCCCATAAGTCTCAACGACGTAGCGTTAAACACTGTAAATAGTTTTAGGTACCTGGGCCACATTGTCACGACCGACCTAAGGGACGATGGAGACATAGAGAGGGAGCGCAGGGCATTGTCTGTGAGGAGCAATATGCTTGCCCGCAGGTTTGCTCGTTGTGGCGAGGATGTCAAAGTAACCCTTTTTAGGGCGTTTTGTCAGTCTTTCTACGCGAGCGGTCTGTGGGTGTCATACACGCGACGGGCGTACAATGTCCTGCGTCTTCAATATAATAATGCGTTCAGGATGCTGTTGGGGCTGCCGCAGCGCTATAGCGCATCGGGTATGTTCGCGGAGGCTCGCGTAGATGATTTCTACGCAATTATGCGAAAGAAAGCGGCTTCCTTACTCCAGCGCCTACATGACAGTGACAACAGCATTCTGAAAATGATCGCTGCCAGACCGGACTGCCCATTCCAGAAACAATGGGTGGGGACAGTCATAGGTCTATACAAATAGTTAATTTGAGTAAAAAAAATGTAATTACTAATAATACTAACCTATCAACTTAAGCACTATTGTTACTAACACTAAAATACTAACATAAATATGGACCATAAGTCTGAAATAAACTTTATTATTATTATTATTTACATACCTATAAATCTATTAGTCAATACCACGAAATTCTCAGATGATACTATCACCCATTGGGCTTTGTATTGATAAATTAACAAATAAACTTAGCTCTGCAGCATTCGGAGTTAGAATAATTCGTGAACTAACTGATATTAAAATAGCCACATTAGTCTTTTGTTATTTTCATAATAAATTTCGTATCTTATTCACGAAGACAGATTGAATATCGCGCTGATATTCAATCTGTCTTCGTGATGAAAAAGTTGGTTGTTCGAGTAATTTTGCCTGCAAAGCCTTTAATTGCAGTATTGAACTGTTGAATTTAATTTTAAAGCTAAAGTAATTTTGACCATAGATAATTATATTTTTCTCAACTGGAGTGGCGGGGAGATTTAAACTCTAAGCGCTGTTGCTATTCACCAATAGATGGCAGTATGATTTTTTTCTGTTATGTTTACTGTCTGTACTGGTGCATATGTGTGTTTACATCAGCGTCAGCTGATGGGATAAACAATATAAATATTAACTTATTAAGCTAATCTTTATTTATCATTACAAAAGTTCGCATGGTAGCCGAATTCTGACCATATTTTCAATTGCTCAATTTTGAATGTATCCTTGACAACTACTGCGATACTATGACTATTACAAGTTGAATTGTCATTGTAAAGAGACTTTCTGTCAGGTAAACATTAAATTTAAAGCTTCTGAATCCGGTTTTAGATGATTTTAAAATTATACCACATTGTAATAATATTTTAACTTTGTATAATGTATAAACTTTAAGCAATCTAATTTGATCTTATCTCTTGTTTATTGTTTTTATACATTACCAACATCATACGCCCTTTTCCTGTATGAAAATTATTTAGGGTTACTGAAAATAACTATTCTAGTTGGCACTAATTAATATTACTATAATATCATTATGGATGCTCTGATTATGTTTATTCTGAAAACCACCATTATTGATTCTCTAGATAGGTGTGATTGTTGTATTAATATGGACCAAACAGCTACATGTGATGAATGAAGTAGGTACCCAGATCTAGTCATTACAAATTATTTACTTTAATGGTTTCGCATTAACAACAACATCATGTGGTTTAAGGCAGGACCTGCCTTCCAGGAACTATCCTAGCAGGTAACTCTAGTTCTAGTTGGCTTAATAACAATGACTCAACAAACAATCTGACTCTCATTCGCTATGTTTGAAATAGTGCAAAATTTATTGCGCCCATTCATAGAAACATAAAAGAATGCCTTTTCTAGACATTCTTAAATCATAATAGAATTTTCAAAGGTGCGTATTTATTTTTATTAGCTGTTTTACTATTTCTCTATCCTTTTTTAGATAATGGTCTCAGAATTTTGTGACCACATTTGTTTATATAAAAATTAGAACAATAACAAAATATTTTACTTTTATTGTCGTGTTTCCTGTAGGGTTTTGGTGTACAGGCACTGTAGGTAGGTACTATAACGGTTAAGGGAATGAGTTTTATTTCTAAGCTCGAATAGGGCCCATCAATTAGCGAATACGTTAATTAGAAAAATTCGTGAACTGACTGATATGGAAACCGCCAGATTAGGTTTTTTTAAATCATTTTCATAGTATTATCTCGTATGGTATCCTTTCGTGCCCTCACTGGAGCCGATATTCAATCTTTCATCATACTGAAAAAGAATGCTGTTCGAGCAATTTAGAACTTAAATAATCATTATAGTTATTCGGACAAAATTATCTTTATGAAAACCAAATTAACTTTCATAAAAATAGAGATCGTTTCTTTGAAAAACGTGATAAACAGTTTCATTTTCATAAGCACAAATTAAAGTATTCCTTTATTTAAAATACGTACATATTTTGAAAACCCACGTAAGCTTAAGAAAGAAATATGGGATAAACTATCAAATCTTACGAAATTCCAGCCAGAAGGGTGAGCAATCTATTGAACTTTGATCTTATACTATTTAATTTAAAGCACTGCTTAGAAAATTTCTACCTTAGACCTTATATTTCACCGAATCGGTTTCGGGGTTATACATTTTTATCTCTAAGCCTCCAATTGATCGTGCTATTCACCAGTAGATGGCAGTATTACAATCTATTTAGTTTTACTATCAGTACAACGTCAGCTGATGAGGTAAATAAACATTAACGTAAATTGTCAAAAGTTGTTAATGTTTATTATTTGTCGTTATAGAAGACAGCATGATAGTAAAATTTAAAACAATAATATTTTTTAAACTGAATGTTCTGTTGTTTTATATCCTTGACTAGGTACTGTAAGTTACATTTATTGTTGTAGCATAAACCTAGTGTACATGTCAGATCACCAGATACCTACAAATTTTTAGATTTTTGTAGCCGTTATCACATTGTTTTAATATTTAAGTTTTTGCACTTCTACGTTTAAACAAATGCATTTCAAATATATGTCTGTAACGGTAACGAAATTTGCTTAGAATGGTGTAACTACCTACCCATAAAAAAATAATTGATTTTATTACATTGCCGTACGTACGCAACGTATTTTTCCTGTGAGCAAATTGTATAGACTTACTAACATAATGCTTGTTGGGATTATTTTACAATAATATTATCGTGAGCGCTCCTGATTAAGTTTATGCTAAAAACGATGCTATTATAAAATTTGGTATAAACATTGAACAGAGCACTTAAACTTATCATAAATCAAGTATTGCAGGGCTGCAATGACAATATACATTAAGAAACTATTTAATTTAATAATTTCATGTTAATGACACCAAGTGGAGCTGGGAGTTCAATCATTCTCGTGTAAACAAAAACATTTCGAGGCCCAGTGATCTACTCTCTACTACTAAGAAGAAAAGAGAAGTAGGTTACTTTTTTTTGCTTGTCTAAAAAAAGGTTATTAACAAAATAAAAGATGTTCTTTAAAATCATCAAATATTTATTCGACGAAAAATAGATCTAACACTGAAAGTTGCGTAGATTTCTATTTTTTTTTTATTTTGTACAGCTAAATTCAAGAATGTAATTCAAAAAAAGTATTTCCTGAAATTCATTCCTTTTAGTACTTACTTAAATATTACCTAAATCACAAGATCGATGATAAATTAAACTACCTAAAAATCACAAAATGCACTAAAACATGCACACGTGTAACATTATGATTTTTATACCAAATACGGTAATTTGGTACAATTGTACATAGTTATTACAAAGATGAAATAAAGTATTAGCTAAATAGGAATTTTACATTACTAAATCCTAAAAATTGTCTAGGTTACGTGTTGTCCATCGAAGTAGATAGACGCCTACTTTCTGAAATCACATTGTGCGACATTTAAAATGGACTGTTTCTAAACTGCTGCATGCGAGGAAGTAACAAGTAACTGTACTTGTTTTAATGTAAATATGTACTGTTATCTCTACAATCACTTTTTGAAAGTTTTTATACACTAACAATGACCCAATTGAATTGATTGTGAGCGTTTAGACAGGCAGGTGTATTACTAGGCGCTTTGTAATGAAAAATCAGTTTAACTTATAAAGAATTTTACAAAGTAAAAGCTTTATATGTATGAATGAGGACGAACATTTACTATAAAATAATTTAAATTATTACATAAACAATAATTAAAGCTCTTGCATTAGATATACTTCGTACTATTTAATTTAAGTAGATGGAATATGTCTCAGCGCGATTCTGTCATAAAGTTTTGGAAATAAGTACTTTAGAATGTATAACAATATTAAAGACTAGTTACGTCATTCAGTACTTTGATCATGATCAGTTAAGGTCACTATAAAAACGAAGAATAAATATTATGATTGTAGAGTACTCGCGGCCATTTTGGTTTGTTCTCGTGACTCGTATAGTGCGGGACACGTCATTGGTGGCTATCTCTTTCATGCACACTCTCCGCATATAGCACCATTGTAACCCGACACGTTACACACAAGCGATTTCACAACACGTCCGTCCGACACTTTCACAACTAAAATGTTTTGTTTATAAATTATGAATCTACAGAGATTTCATGACACGGTTGTTTCTTTTCTTGTAATCTCCGAACAGCTTCGGCGACAAGGGCACGTTGTTCCAGCAATCTTTCAACAAGATCGACAGGTTCTTGTTTTCTAATGTAGTAAGGTGCAGCACGAGCTCGAGCCTGCAGATGAAGCTTTTGTTTCAGACCTAGGGTCAGTTCCTCAATAGCTGGTAATCTGTTAGACGCTAGCCGACGGCCATCTTCTTCGGAGGAATGACGATTGTCATATCTTGACTTTTCTTTCAACATATTAAAGTAATACCACGATCAGAAACTTAAGACTGATTTAGCAAGGGACTAGAGATCGTACCGGTATTGTAGGCGGCGTGTTACGATGTTTGCGAATGCCGAATGCCAACTGAATGAGCGACGAGCGGACGAGCCGCCGACCTAACGTAACAGGTCTCAGCGGGGGATCAAGTGAGGGGGGAGAGTAATGACGTAGACAGATGCGCAGTCGCGCCGGGCTGTATACAAACAATACGATGGACGTAAATAAACACAAGGCAGACTCGATAATATGCCTTTACAGTTAACGGTGTTATCTATGTGTTAGTTTGTGTGGCTGATCGGACAACCCGCTTACTGAACAATGCTGTTTTAATGAATAGAAATTCAAAATACAGGTAGACCAACCGCTTGATGATACCACATGTTGAAAGAAACAGATACATAACTTATTTTTGTTTAAGTAAGTAGAGATTGTGTGACTAATATAAACATCATGAGTAATTTACTAAGAGATAATGTTTTTCTGAAAAGGAAATAACAACATTGTCTTTTTCAGACAAATGTTATTTTGTTGATTTCCTTGCTGTGTAAGTCTAGTAAGGAAATCAGCAAAACAAGTTTGTAGTACCTGCTTGTGTGAGTACCTATAATGTTTTGTGCCCTACACCCTTGTAGCCTTACACATTAATCTTAGTTTTCAGTATTAGCCATATAAACATAGCCGTAAAGGAAAACCTACCTAAGCGATGTAAATTTTTACGGACACAGTTCGTAAATACGTTTTGTTGAAACCGAACTAAGAACGGGCAATGCCCTCTGTTTTTTCCAGACGGTGATCACGTTGCGTTGACTGTTTTGCCGCTGTCATTACTTCCTTCTACACGTTATACACTTAATAATATTACCTATCAGCTTTATAAAGACATGTGTTTATAAATACATGCATTTGTAACAAATGTAAGTAATTATTTAGAACTGACTGTTTATATAAAATAAATCTTTTTAATTAAACAATCTGCATAAATTAAAAAAAATGCGAAACTAAGTATTTAATTTCTAGAAAATAATATAAAAGTAACCTATTACAGCAACCAGAAAATGTCATTGACTCTTAAATAGTGCGACCGTTGCTTTGTGCAAGCACGTTTTTTACCACACCTGTTCATTTTTTGTTAAGTACCTTACACTATTTATTTATAAAAGTTTTATTACAGAGGACAAGACACATTTTAAAGACATCAGAAGTACAATCATTAAGTAATCTATCTGCCTCTCCCATTTTTTTCTATTAATAGTTACTATAGGCACCTATTTTGATATGGTGTAGCCGTGTGGCGCGATTCTTGTTAGGTATGTATGAGCACGTGTTCATAATATCTTTCGTCAGTTGATGTAAATATCTCGTAAAAAAGTAATCTGTATAAATAAAAAAAATATTTTGAAAGCAAATATGTAGCTTCTTTAACGTGATGTACCTAATATGTTACCGACTGAACGATATTTCTCTGCGTAAAATAATAATGTATTAAACGACGATTTCCTTTACTTTGACCTTCAAATAATGATAAAACAGGCCACAGTTCTGCGTTTAATTTTATTTAATCACGTGTTACGTGAAATCGAGTAGGTAGGAGTTACTTGTTCAATAGTAGGTTTCATTTAGAGCAATATTACGTTAAATGTCTCGAAGTTCAAGTAGATAGTTATCGTTTATGTACCTACTCATATATATATACATAGACACGGGACAGATCCTTTACTAATCTTAAGAACCCGTTTAAGTACTTATTTCTAGTGTACCTATTTGATGTTTGATTCTTAATTTTTTAGACTTCTGACAACGATAGTATGGAGCAATAAGTGCTTGTGCTCTGAAAGTGAGTCATTTCCTACACATACATAGGTTAACCGGCCTTACATCTAGTAAGGCCGGTTTAACACTAACTAAACCAATCCGTTTAAAACGAAGAAAACCGTTTAAAAACCGAAATAAACCATTTTTTTCGATTTAAAACGGTTGGTGTTGATGACTATGTCTTCGTATGTATAACTACATTTTCTCTACTCTCTTACGCTCGTTGACACCGTTCGGTACAGGCGCGACGGCCTTGAAGACATAACGTTGTCTCTTTCATGCGCATGTAAAACGGACGGCGTTGTGTTAATGATGTCTTCTAATCTAGTGTGTAATATAATATAAAAAATAAGGTATAGGTATACCTACATACTTAAGTTTTCGTGTAATAGGTAATGTAGGTATGTATTTTCTATTAATTTTCTAAAAAATAAATAAAACGAAAAACGACGTCAGGTGACCAAAAATTGCCTTTTTTTTTTTTTTTACGTGTGTAAATCCCCTCGGACCGTCACCCCTCCGGGGTTTACGGCGGGGTGGTGTGTCGGACTCGGACCGACTAAAACCACACGGTGTGCCACTCTGCGCCTGTAACAGGAGGGATCCGGGAACAGCTGTTGTTAAGACATCCGGACCCCTCCTAGCGCCAGCCCGCTCCTGGTGCGGGCTCCGTCTCAATGTGGATGTTCCTCTCTTTAGGCGACGTCCGGCACACGCGGACGCCGCCCCCTCGCGGCTGGCCAACTAATGCGGGTGGAGGGGAAACCCACCCCGTCCACCCGCGGCCACACTCAGGGCGGCATGAGGCTGTGGTAGGCGGGCCTCCGCCGCCCGGTTCGCCGGCGGCGGATCGGGTCCGAGTGGAGGTCGTCCTCCCGGGCCCTCTCCGCCGCCTCCTTCCGCGAGATTACTACTTCGCAGAAGGTTGCGACCGCGGTAAAACAACTGTCGCTACCGGCCATGGAGCGTACTACGGCCGGTAGCGAGAGATCCACTCCGATGACTGCAGTGAGGGCCCGGCGCTGCGCCGCCCATGCGGGGCAGACCGCCAGCGTGTGCTGGGCCGAGTCCTCACTGCAGTCGCAGTGGTGGCAGGCGGGACTCAGTTCCCTCCTAGCGACCGTGTGCAGGTACTTTCCGAAGCAACCGTGCCCGGAAAGCACCTGCGTCAGTCGGAAGGAAAGGGTCCCGTGCTGCCGCCCTGCCCACTCGGCGATGACCGGCTGGAGAGCCTCCACGGCGGCGAAGCCAGCGCGTGGAGTCTCCAGCCGGAACGACCAACGAGCCATCGTGGCTCGGCGAGCGGCTTCGCGCCACTCGCGCACATCCTCGGGCGGAGGGCGAAATCCGCTCTCCGCCCGGAAGTCAGCCACTCGCCGATAAACTTCGGCGAGCACTTCCGCCTCCAAATCCCACGGGGGAGTTCCGGCCAATGCGCATGCCACCTCCGTCGAAACGGTGCGGTAACCGCGTATGGCTCTGACCGCCATTACCCTCTGAGGGCGCCAGAGGCGTACCCTATTCTGGGCGGTCAGAGCCGCCGCCCACACCGGTGCACCGTACAGTGCCATTGACCGAACAACCCCCGTGTACAGCCGTCTTGTCGCGACGCTGGGTCCACCCATATTGGGCAAAAGTCGGCCTAGGGCAGACGCAGCGCCGACCAGCTTTGGAGCAAGCTGTCGGAAGTGCTCGTCGAAGAGCCACCTCCCGTCGAGGATCAGGCCCAGATATTTCATCTGGGCCCGAACCGGTACGAGGACCGAGTTGACCACGATTGAGGCGCCAGGGGGTGGACCACGACGGGGCCCATGGAATAACAGGGCCTCCGTCTTATTAAGGGCCACCCGTAAGCCCAGCGCCTCAATGCGCCCGACCACCAGGGAGACTCCCCCTGTGGCCAGGCGCGCCGCCTCTTGGAAGTTTGCCCCCCGGGCTGTCACGAGGGTATCGTCTGCGTAACAGATTACACCCAGCCCGGGGGGGAAATCGGCGCGAAGGGCCCAGTCGTACCCTATGTTCCACAAGAGGGGTCCAAGAACAGACCCCTGTGGAACACCGCACGACATGGGCCGACTCCTCAAATTACCTTCTCGGTCCTCGTACACGACGGTACGCTCCTCTAAGTAGTCTGCCACTAGCCGCCTCAGGTACTTTGGCACCCCATGATAGTGGAGTGCTTCCCTGATGCAGCTGAATGGCAGACTATTGAATGCGTTGGCGATGTCCAGTGACACCGCCGAAAAATTGCCTACAATGACGTGTAAAACACGGTTCTTTTATTTATGTAGACGACTTTCGAACCGTTTAAAACGATTTATTTAGGGTTTAAAACGACGTTTTAAATCGGTTGCTTTCTAAAGCAGGTAGTACCTAATTATTATTTTATCTTTTATTTTTAGATATTTATGAGCAAAAAGTACATTGGTTGTGACATACTAACCTAACCTGGCTCAACAAGTGCTTGTACCTACTAATACTTGTTTTTGTTTTTGAAAACAAAAAAAGGGAAAAGAGGTTTTGGGAAAAGAGGTTCAACAACATGTTAATAAACATTGGTATTTCTGAAACGAGGAAGTTTTACCTACGACGGTTGTGTACGTCCTATAGTGTTTTAATTACCTAACAAAGGACCCCCCCAGTACACACGGTGCAATTTCAAGTTGTTGTAATTTTATCATAAAGTGCATGTTCAGGCCTGACAGATTTAATAAATTTAAGTAGGTAGGTTAAATTTACCATTAAAGTAGTTATTACAGAATTTCTTTATAGGTACATACCTATGCACTGGCTTTTGCTTTTAGCTTCATTTGTTGTGTCGTGATCTGTGATTGCGATAATCAAAGATTACGTTAGAGTTAATTTGCTTCTTCGCATCCTACATATTTTACGAAACGTTGAAAGCAATCAATCATTGTTTTAAGAAGTTGTTTTTTTGACATTTTCATTAAAAACTATATTCATCGATATTAGTTGATTTACCATGGATTCACACATAGAGATAGATCACAAAGAAAAATTATTACAAAAATAAACTAGTAAAGTTAATAACTCAAATTACAAAATTACATATACTACTATGCACTTGTTAGCATTTTGATGCCAACCGTAAGTAGGTACATAACTTCTAAATCCTTAGTTCCCAAACTGGTCCAGGTGGACG